TGTTCTCTGTTTTGTGTCTGTGTTGAGTTACTGTTCGTGTCTAACTTGGTGCTGAATGTCGTCTGTAATATCTCTAACTAATTCTCTGATTTCTTTGTTTTGTGTCTGTGTTGAGTTACTGTTCATCTCTGACTTGGTGCTGAATGTCGTCTCTAATATCTCTAACCAATTCTCTGATTTCTTTGTTTTGTGTTGAGTTACGGTTCATGTCTGACTTGGTGCTGAATGTCGTCTGTAATATCTCTAACCAATTCTCTGTTCTCTGTTTTGTGTCTGTGTTGAGTTACTGTTCGTGTCTGACTTGGTGCTGACTGTCATCTGTAATATCTCTAACCAATTCTCTGATTTCTTTGTTTTGTTCTGTGTTGAGTTACTGTTCATCTCTGACTTGGTGCTGAATGTCGTCTGTAATATCTCTAACCAATTCTCTGATTTCTTTGTTTTGTGTCTGTGTTGAGTTACTGTTCATCTCTGACTTGGTGCTGAATGTCGTCTGTAATATCTCTAACCAATTCTCTGATTTCTTTGTTTTGTGTTGAGTTACGGTTCATGTCTGACTTGGTGCTGAATGTCGTCTGTAATATCTCTAACCAATTCTCTGATCTCTTTGTTTTGTGTCTGTGTTGAGTTACTGTTCATGTCTAACTTGGTGCTGAATGTCATCTGTAATATCTCTAACCAATTCTCTGATTTCTTTGTTTTGTTCTGTGTTGAGTTACTGTTCATCTCTGACTTGGTGCTGAATGTCGTCTGTAATATCTCTAACCAATTCTCTGATTTCTTTGTTTTGTGTCTGTGTTGAGTTACTGTTCATCTCTGACTTGGTGCTGAATGTCGTCTGTAATATCTCTAACCAATTCTCTGATTTCTTTGTTTTGTTCTGTGTTGAGTTACTGCTCATCTCTGACTTAGTGCTGAATGTCATCTGTAATATCTCTAACCAATTCTCTGATTTCTTTGATTTGTGTTGAGTTACTGTTCGTGTCTGACTTGGTGCTGAATGTCATCTGTAATATCTCTAACCAATTCTCTGATCTCTTTGTTTTGTGTCTGTGTTGAGTTACTGTTCATGTCTAACTTGGTGCTGAATGTCGTCTGTAATATCTCTAACCAATTCTCTGATTTCTTTGTTTTGTTCTGTGTTGAGTTACTGTTCATCTCTGACTTGGTGCTGAATATCCTATGTAATATCTCTAACCAAATCTCTGATTTCTTTGTTTTGTGTTGAGTTACGGTTCATGTCTGACTTGGTGCTGAATGTCATCTGTAATATCTCTAACCAATTCTCTGATCTCTGTTTTGTGTCTGTGTTGAGTTACTGTTCATGTCTAACTTGGTGCTGAATATCCTCTGTAATATCTCTAACCAATTCTCTGATTTCTTTGTTTTGTGTTGAGTTACGGTTCATGTCTGACTTGGTGCTGAATGTCGTCTGTAATATCTCTAACTAATTCTCTGATCTCTGTTTTGTGTCTGTGTTGAGTTACTGTTCGTGTCTGACTTGGTGCTGACTGTCGTCTCTAATATCTCTAACCAATTCTCTGTTCTCTGTTTTGTGTCTGTGTTGAGTTACTGTTCGTGTCTAACTTGGTGCTGAATGTCGTCTGTAATATCTCTAACTAATTCTCTGATTTCTTTGTTTTGTGTCTGTGTTGAGTTACTGTTCGTGTCTAACTTGGTGCTGAATGTCGTCTCTAATATCTCTAACCAATTCTCTGATTTCTTTGTTTTGTGTTGAGTTACGGTTCATGTCTGACTTGGTGCTGAATGTCGTCTGTAATATCTCTAACCAATTCTCTGATCTCTGTTTTGTGTCTGTGTTGAGTTACTGTTCGTGTCTGACTTGGTGCTGAATGTCATCTGTAATATCTCTAACCAATTTTCTGATTTCTTTGTTTTGTGTCTGTGTTGAGTTACTATTCATGTCTAACTTGGTGCTGAATGTCATCTGTAATATCTCTAACCAATTCTCTGATCTCTTTGTTTTGTGTCTGTGTTGAGTTACTGTTCATGTCTAACTTGGTGCTGAATGTCGTCTGTAATATCTCTAACCAATTCTCTGATTTCTTTGTTTTGTTCTGTGTTGAGTTACTGTTCATCTCTGACTTGGTGCTGAATATCCTATGTAATATCTCTAACCAAATCTCTGATTTCTTTGTTTTGTGTTGAGTTACGGTTCATGTCTGACTTGGTGCTGAATGTCATCTGTAATATCTCTAACCAATTCTCTGATCTCTGTTTTGTGTCTGTGTTGAGTTACTGTTCATGTCTAACTTGGTGCTGAATATCCTCTGTAATATCTCTAACCAATTCTCTGATTTCTTTGTTTTGTGTTGAGTTACGGTTCATGTCTGACTTGGTGCTGACTGTCGTCTCTAATATCTCTAACCAATTCTCTGTTCTCTGTTTTGTGTCTGTGTTGAGTTACTGTTCGTGTCTAACTTGGTGCTGAATGTCGTCTGTAATATCTCTAACTAATTCTCTGATTTCTTTGTTTTGTGTCTGTGTTGAGTTACTGTTCGTGTCTAACTTGGTGCTGAATGTCGTCTCTAATATCTCTAACCAATTCTCTGATTTCTTTGTTTTGTGTTGAGTTACGGTTCATGTCTGACTTGGTGCTGAATGTCGTCTGTAATATCTCTAACCAATTCTCTGTTCTCTGTTTTGTGTCTGTGTTGAGTTACTGTTCGTGTCTGACTTGGTGCTGACTGTCGTCTCTAATATCTCTAACCAATTCTCTGATTTCTTTGTTTTGTGTTGAGTTACGGTTCATGTCTGACTTGGTGCTGAATGTCGTCTGTAATATCTCTAACCAATTCTCTGTTCTCTGTTTTGTGTCTGTGTTGAGTTACTGTTCGTGTCTGACTTGGTGCTGAATGTCATCTGTAATATCTCTAACCAATTCTCTGATTTCTTTGTTTTGTGTCTGTGTTGAGTTACTGTTCGTGTCTAACTTGGTGCTGAATGTCGTCTGTAATATCTCTAACCAATTCTCTGATTTCTTTGTTTTGTGTCTGTGTTGAGTTACTGTTCGTGTCTAATTGGTGCTGAATGTCGTCTGTAATATCTCTAACCAATTCTCTGATTTCTTTGTTTTGTGTTGAGTTACTGTTCGTGTCTGACTTGGTGCTGAATGTCGTCTGTAATATCTCTAACCTTTCCTCTGATTTCTTTGTTTTGTGTCTGTGTTGAGTTACTGTTCGTGTCTGACTTGGTGCTGAATGTCGTCTCTAATATCTCTAACCAATTCTCTGTTCTCTGTTTTGTGTCTGTGTTGAGTTACTGTTCGTGTCTGACTTGGTGCTGAATGTCATCTGTAATATCTCTAACCAATTCTCTGATTTCTTTGTTTTGTGTCTGTGTTGAGTTACTGTTCGTGTCTAACTTGGTGCTGAATGTCGTCTGTAATATCTCTAACTAATTCTCTGATTTCTTTGTTTTGTGTCTGTGTTGAGTTACTGTTCGTGTCTAACTTGGTGCTGAATGTCGTCTCTAATATCTCTAACCAATTCTCTGATCTCTGTTTTGTGTCTGTGTTGAGTTACTGTTCGTGTCTGACTTGGTGCTGAATGTCATCTGTAATATCTCTAACCAATTCTCTGATCTCTTTGTTTTGTGTCTGTGTTGAGTTACTGTTCATGTCTAACTTGGTGCTGAATGTCGTCTGTAATATCTCTAACCAATTCTCTGATTTCTTTGTTTTGTTCTGTGTTGAGTTACTGTTCATCTCTGACTTGGTGCTGAATATCCTATGTAATATCTCTAACCAAATCTCTGATTTCTTTGTTTTGTGTTGAGTTACGGTTCATGTCTGACTTGGTGCTGAATGTCATCTGTAATATCTCTAACCAATTCTCTGTTCTCTGTTTTGTGTCTGTGTTGAGTTACTGTTCGTGTCTGACTTGGTGCTGAATATCATCTGTAATATCTCTAACCAATTCTCTGATCTCTTTGTTTTGTGTCTGTGTTGAGTTACTGTTCATGTCTAACTTGGTGCTGAATGTCGTCTGTAATATCTCTAACCAATTCTCTGATTTCTTTGTTTTGTTCTGTGTTGAGTTACTGTTCATCTCTGACTTGGTGCTGAATGTCATCTGTAATATCTCTAACCAATTCTCTGATTTCTTTGTTTTGTGTCTGTGTTGAGTTACTGTTCATGTCTAACTTGGTGCTGAATATCCTCTGTAATATCTCTAACCAATTCTCTGATTTCTTTGTTTTGTGTTGAGTTACGGTTCATGTCTGACTTGGTGCTGAATGTCGTCTGTAATATCTCTAACTAATTCTCTTATCTCTGTTTTGTGTCTGTGTTGAGTTCATGTCTGACTTGGTGCTGAATGTCATCTGTAATATCTCTAACCAATTCTCTGATCTCTGTTTTGTGTCTGTGTTGAGTTACTGTTCGTGTCTGACTTGGTGCTGAATATCATCTGTAATATCTCTAACCAATTCTCTGATCTCTTTGTTTTGTGTCTGTGTTGAGTTACTGTTCATGTCTAACTTGGTGCTGAATGTCGTCTGCAATATCTCTAACCAATTCTCTGATTTCTTTGTTTTGTTCTGTGTTGAGTTACTGTTCATCTCTGACTTGGTGCTGAATGTCATCTGTAATATCTCTAACCAATTCTCTGATTTCTTTGTTTTGTGTCTGTGTTGAGTTACTGTTCATGTCTAACTTGGTGCTGAATATCCTCTGTAATATCTCTAACCAATTCTCTGATTTCTTTGTTTTGTGTTGAGTTACGGTTCATGTCTGACTTGGTGCTGAATGTCATCTGTAATATCTCTAACCAATTCTCTGTTCTCTGTTTTGTGTCTGTGTTGAGTTACTGTTCGTGTCTAACTTGGTGCTGAATGTCGTCTGTAATATCTCTAACTAATTCTCTGATTTCTTTGTTTTGTGTCTGTGTTGAGTTACTGTTCGTGTCTAACTTGGTGCTGAATGTCGTCTGTAATATCTCTAACTAATTCTCTGATTTCTTTGTTTTGTGTCTGTGTTGAGTTACTGTTCGTGTCTGACTTGGTGCTGAATGTCGTCTGTAATATCTCTAACCAATTCTCTGATTTCTTTGTTTTGTGTCTGTGTTGAGTTACTGTTCGTGTCTAACTTGGTGCTGAATGTCGTCTGTAATATCTCTGACCAGTTCTCTGATTTCTTTGTTTTTATCCACCCCTAGCTCCTGAAGGACAGACTTGGGTAGCTAAAACACAAGAATACTTCCTAAGTGCTTCATTTACGGACATATATCACTCTTCACACCTGGCTATCACTATTTTCGTGAAATCAATACTGCACTCACGAAAATGTCAAACACAGCTAGTGTAGTATCCCCTTCCCTTAACTTTTTTTTTTGTGAACTACTTCTTAATATATTTCCATGTAAATTACTTGAATTTGACGCTGTTACCCTCTGAAATCATGCCCCCGAGCGCTAGAACATAGCAACAGTTAACATAGTCCGAAATATCTGACGTTTTCCAGGCTTTTTTCACGATTTTGATATTTTACGTAAAATATCAAAATCGTGAAAAAAGCCTGGAAAACGTCAGATATTTCGGACTACAGTTAACATTGCTTGATGACGGATGATATTCCCCAAAAAATATTGACCGTGTGGAATCTATGTGCGCGCGCTTAACTTTATATGTAATTTTATAAAACATTCAGTATAATACAATAAATACTGCATGTAGTTGAGGGTAACATTGAAAATTTTCAACCAAGAAAACCATTGTCAAACGAGGCGCAAACGAGAGTGAAAATGGTTTTTGAGGGATGAAAATTTTCAATGTTACCTGAACTACATACAGTATTTAAATAATGACAACCTACACTGTAGTCTAACAAATATGGAGTTGGAATCCTGTCCCTCCCTATGTCTATGGTCAAATTACTACTGTATTAACAACTCGTAAAGAGGAACTTTTAAAGCATTGAAAAAAAAATATTGTTCACGCCTCAGTTCTTAGCATGAAGAGTAGTGTTGGCGTGTAGGTCGTCCCTGTAGGCCTTAATGCATGTATGTTTCAAAATTAAGTATGGCCCCTGGGGTAGATCATTCTTTAACCACAAGTTTTGGTTGTTTTATCGCAAACAAATATAAAATCCTTAAAATCTAATTTTAACCGTTAATTGATGCTTTTTGATGTAATATTTCACAGTACTAAAACTATACTTCGTGGCATATAACTTTAGGCAATAAAAAAATCAGTTAAACTGTCAGAGGTCTATTCGCTTTAGACCGGAAGTCTTTGAAGATACTGTAGCTGAACTGGACTGAACTTATGGGTGGAAATATGCACACATTCGGATTTTGAAAAATTGAAAAATTACAAAAACCTCAGACAATTCAGATAAAAAATGTAAAGAAACATATTCTAAAAATAGTCTTTTAGTTCATCATACTAGTTAGAGCAGCCAACCATGGAAAGAAGAAAAGGACCAAAACCGAACACAGTAGATTATTCTAGCAGAGTAGGCTCTTCTTTTGGTCTTCCATCATTACAACTTATGTGATCATTTCTCACCTCTTCTAATAGCTCGTGTATGATGTTAAGGCTGTAGTCCACCGATATCAAAGATTGTATTAGTCTGAGAGTGTTCACTTGGTTTTCTGTTGCAGTCTCGTCTTTTATAAAAAAAAAATTATATGGAATCAATGCTTACCTATTTCTCTCAGGTGTAAATTAAAATTGTAAAATAATTTTTTTTAAGATTAAAAAAAAAATCTAAATTTACAATATAAGAAAATATTAACCAACAAACATGAGTTTTTCCTTAGATAATGTAAATACCTTGTAGAAGCCAGGCCAACAACTTCATGAGCCCTCGTTTGGAGGACAGGTATTTTATTCCCTTCTGATTGATGCTTAGGTTGTACAACGCCATCACGATGAGGCTACGTATAGATTGAAGATATTGCATGGCATTAAAACATTTTGTGCAGTAATTGTAAAAATATTGATAAAACTACATGTATATTCAGTTGGATAAATAATTAGAAATATTAGAATTCAGACATTTGAAAAAAATATTTCGCTTGTAAGATAGACGAAGTGCGTTCTCTTACAGGCCCGTTGAAAAAAAAGCAAATTCGTGGGGTGGGGGACACAACCAATATTTTCAGGAGGCGGGGGGCGGGGGGGGGGGGGGGGCTGAGGGAGTATTACCAAGCAAAAGTTTCTTGACAAGAAAAACAAAAATCTTTGGAAGTAATAATTGAGCACATCCATAAAGAAGCTATCTTTTCTAGTATACTATATATCGTGAAAATTAGTGGGAGATCAAACCCCCCGGTTCTTATGGCCATGTGTTAAATACCCTTCCAGTTAACAGACATGAAGTTTTGCCCTGTCAAACTTACTTCTTTAGTCGTGCACTTTTCCCGTTGGGCGCCTGTTCCAGTACAGTAATATAAGTGTCAATCACTTGAAGTCCACATGGGTTGTTAATTAAATAATCGCGTCCAAAAGCAGAGGCTGCAATGTCTGCAAAATATACATTTTTCCCCAGCTGTGTGACACAAAAATAAAACAGTATAAGTTTAATTCAAAACTCTTCAAACAAAAGTATCTAGATAAATCTAATGGGAAAAACTATTTTTAAGGTCCATTCTGTAACATTTTAAGACAAAAGAATAGTAAGATGGTTACTTGTGATGACGCCACAGAGAGCGTGTACAAACTGACTCTCTTCCGATTTGGAGTCTGGCCAATCAGATTTGTAAGTCATGACGTAACTATTGAGCGTGTTCGAAATGAGTGTCAAGAACTCCTCTACTTTACTCTGCAAAGAAATACATTACTGGTTTACCATTATTTATACTTAAAGTTTTAAAAATATCTTTATGATTTTGTTATCGCTTTAAAATAAATTATAAATGAAAAATATACTTCAAAATTAAAACGTGTCCTTTATCACTGTGCTTTTATGATTAATCAATTGTAATTCAGGGTATGGTAGATTTTTTTTCAGTGGCATTTAGTTATTACTTAAGATGCATCACCCCAACAAGTATGGACTGTATGGTGTTCTCGTTTTTGGACACTCGCCACAACAAAGTACAGCAGGCGGATCCAAGACTGGAGCAGTACTCCGATTGTTGAGATAACTGCTGAGTCAGCAAATCCACCTCATGACGTAATCGGATGTTCTCCTAGAATCACAGGGTTTATATTAATCACATTTTAAGGATATCCGATCCTTAGCTAGGAACGATAACTCTTAAATTCAATAGTTAATTTAAAAAGTTCCAAAATAAAGCTTAAAATTGAAATATTTTCTTGCAACAATCTTCATTTTATGCATCTCAAAATGATTCAAGGTTCTTTGAAGTCTTAGAAATGGTATGACAGGAAATTAACATTTGTACCCCACAAAAGTACAAAATTCCTTTTTAGAAAAATTGAATTTACTTTAATCTAGCAAAAGATACCATTGCTTATTAGCATGTTATGAAATTAGAAGTGAGCTGTGATGTCTTACAACGATATTACACAAACTTTTTACACTAATGTGTTATAATAATTGAAGTAAACAGAAGAACTAAAATACTGTATGTGTGCAAAACATGCAATTTCCTCAAAATGCCTGGATACCTATAGTTTGGAATCCCAAAATATCTGTAGATCAGGCCCTGAGGTTGTAAAACTTTCTGAGAACAAACTTTGTGCCCAAACTCATACTCCGTTCTCCAAACCATACTCATACTCAAATTCATATACAAAGAGTGGAACTTTGAGTATGAGTATGATTCGGAAAACAGAGTATGAGTTTGAGCACGGAGTTCATTTTCAAAAAGCTTTATAACCTCCAGGCCAGTTTTCAATTAGAAAATGCATAGCTGGTTCTTTTCTTCGCATATTCCAAAAATATATTTGAGATTTGATGAGTTTCCCTATATAATATGATTAACTTTAATAATAAACTTTGAAGAAATACTATGGATAAATGCACGTTATTCTGTGAAATCTGGGACATTTTTGTGAGCATTTTAAATTACTGAAAAGCTGATTTTCAGAACCTGAGGATCGGACTACCTTAATATCATATTGTAGTGATGGGAAAACGGATTTTTTTCCGTAATCGATTATCGGAATAATCGGACGCACTATAATCGACTAATAATCGATTAATTTCAAGTATTAAATTTGTTTATTTTTGAATGAAGAGTAAATAAGTGAAAAAATTCAGAATGATTTCTAAAATGCGTTTTTGATATATTTTGCATCATTGGATTCATTTATAATATCATTATTTAGGATTTAGTTACTTTCAAAGGAAAATGAATCAGGAAATCATAGGAACAATTTACTTTTAGCTAATATTTTGATTAATCGATTATCTATAATTGGGGGCCATTTCAATTAGATAATCGATTAATCGGAACAGCACTAACAGATTGTACTATTCAGAAAAGTCAGCAAACATACCTATAAATTGAAAGGATTTCTGTGAACGGAATTTAGGAGAAAGTTTCTTTGACATTTGTTTTGTCCAAAAATTTTCAAGATCAGTAGCATGCCTGTTATAGGTAAAATGGCAAAAGGAAAGTAGAAACCATGACCCCCTCTTATATTCTCATCATTCGAAAACGACAAAATTCACAAGAGACACAAATATATTGGTAACTGTACTCTCAACACACCAAGGATCTTCTCGCTCAAAAAGAAGAAAGATTCGTTTTTTACCCAGTTTGATGCCTGGTCTCGTCATCATTCTAACATAAAGGTAGATGGGTCCTATACAATCTTTGCTTGTCATTTATACGCATCTAAATCTTGAAAACGCATGCCTAGCGAGAATGTGGTCACTGGACAGAGTGTAAATACAATCTAGATAGGGTGAATTTAGAAAGCCAGAGGATTTCATATAGATATAATATAGATATATGGAAATGAACTTCTAAAAGTCTAAACAAATCCATTTGCAGAAAAATAACAAAAACGCGATATTTTTGCAATAAATTAAAGATTGGATCCGCTCCTTTTGTCACCTGTTTTTCCTGCTGACACTCCGCCACCGCTGTTTCACATCGCGTCCTTAGATACGATATTTCTGCCATGTGGTTCTGTATCTGCTGTCTACACTGTTTTAACTCTGTTGAATTAAAAGTATTATAAAGTGTTACTGTGTATTTTTTTTGGTTGGGGGGGGGGGGGTAACAATGAGGATATGAAAGTTAGTACAGTAACTGTCCTTTAACAAGAATTTTTATATTTTATAATGCTGAAATTCAATTCTTTTTTTTTATGTATTGCAAATTTCCAACCAAAAATATGGCAAAAGAAAATGAAATATGAAATGCATATAAAAGTCATAAATATACATAAGAGTAACACAAAACAAATTGTTCATTTAATACTAAAATACTTGAAAATCATCAGTCCTTATTTAGATTGTTATTACGTAATGTTTGTTCTACAATTAAAAAACTTTTTGAACAAAAGATTGAACTAGCCCTCTTTCAGCTTTTCTGTGGCATGCAGTGAAGCAGCGCTGCTTCTTGTAACTTTAGGTTTTGGTGGTACTGTGGCCTTCTGTTGGACTTCGGTGACGAGTTTGGACAAATCATCTGAGCTTACCAACAGCAAATCCTGCAGGAAGCAACAATTCACTCAACAGCAGCTTTATTCGGTGCCAGAACTCGATATATAATTATATATATAATTTTAAAATTGGAACTCATGTCTACATTCTCAGGTATCCGCAAAATATCAAAATTTTCAATGATCTTTTGTCAAATTCATAAAATAACCTTTACCTCATTTGCACTTTCTTCCAATTTCTGGTCATTTTTATAAGTCTTCCAGTCATCAATTAATGATTCATACTTTGTTTTTACTTCAGGAACAAACTTGCTCTGAAAAGATACATTTTTGTGAATCAAGTAAAAATCAATAATTAATACTGCGTACTTAAAGAATAAAAACAAGAGAACCAGGGGCCACGTCGCTCACCTGAGCATTTTTTCTAGGAAAAAGCAGAAATCAACTCAGTATTGAAAAGTTGAAATATAAAAATGGTTCCGGAGGGGGGGGGGGGTATAATTTGAACAAACTTGAATCTACACTTTCTAAGGATGCTTTTTAATTAATATGATACATAATGGCTTTGCTGTTCTTAAGATGAAAATTTTTATTGATATATCCTTTATATTCCTTTGTATAACTATGATCCCCTGTTATGGCCCCTCTATTCTCCTGGGGGTCATTATTTGAACAAATTTAAATCTACATTACCTGAGGATGCTTTTATGTTATTATGACGATGCAATCATGGCTTTGCTGTTCTTGAAAAGAAGATTGTTAAAAGATTTTTTTTCATTTATGTATTCCTATGTAAAACTTTGATCACCCATTGTGGCCCCACTCTAGCCCCGGGAGTTATAATTTGATCAAACTTGAATCTACACTATCTGAGGATGCTTCTGTATAAATATGACCAATCATGGTTTTGCTATTCTTGAGAAGCAGATTTTGAAAGATTTTTCCTATGTAAAACTTTGATCGCCCATTGTGGCCCCACCCTACCCCCAGGGGTCATGATTTGAACAAACCTAAATCGGCACTACCTTAGGATGCTTTCAAATAAATATGACCAATCATGGCTTTGCTGTTCTTGAGAAGGAGATTTTTAAAGATTTTCCCCATGTATTCCTATGTAAAAACTTTGATAGCCCATTGTGGCCCCACGCTACCCCTGGGATTGTGATTTGAATAAATTTGAATTTAGGCCATTCCGAGTTTATTCTCTGTTTAGCGTCCACCCATCTTTCAAAAACCTACCTACCTATTCGCAAAAAACACACAAATCAAAAAATAAAACACAGACTTTATAGTCATAAAAACCTACCTACCTATTCGCAAAAAACACACAAATCAAAAAATAAAACACAGACTTTATAGTCATAAAAATGACGCCATTCAAAGGATTTGATTTCATTAATCTATTCTTCTCGTAGAAAAAAAACTATTCTTAAGCAAAATCAAGGTACAGTGTACTCAATGCTTACAATATTCCTAATATGACATATTGTAGACAAATATTTTGAGAAATTGACAGAATTCAGTGATTTCAACCAGAATATTCGAGTTAGGGACACCTGATTTTGTTTGTTTTTTCTGATATGGGGTGTCAAAAACCAAGGCGCACGCGGACGCTAAACAGAGAAAAAACTTGGAATGGCCTTACACTACCTCACAATGATTCTACATATATTCATGCTTTCAAGCACAGGGGTTCTTAAGAAGAAGATTTTTACATGATGCCATTTTTTTCACGAAATCATAATTATCTCCCCTTGGAAGAAGGTGTGGCCTTTAGTTGAACAAACTTGAATTACCCTTAACCCAAGGATACTTTGTGGCAAGTTTGGTTGAAATTGGCCCAGTGGTTCTTGAAAATATGAAAAGTTTACGACGACAACGACAGACAACGGTCGAATTTTGATCAGATAAGCTCATTTGAGCCTTCGGCTCAGGTGAGCTAAAAAGATTTTGCCTTAAGCCTAATTCAAAAAATTAAAAGATCAAAAATTCGTTAGTCACAGTTTCCAGCAAATCTTATAACCTTGATTATTCAATGAAGCCCAGTGGAAGCGTATTAGGTGTTAACCACAGGCACTGGAAGTTAATGTAAATATTAAATATGTGCATTGTATATAGAAGCACATACTCGATAGTCAATATTTACATAAACTTCTAGTGCTCGTGAGTGGTGTTGATGTAGATGGAGCATTGATTCAACCAGTTTTCAGCACCTTTTTTCAGAAAAATGTCACATAATTTATGCATATCTATGTCTAATGAGTTGAAAAACTTAGTCCTTGAAAGATGTTGCATTGAGACAAAAGAAAAAACTAACCACAGTCTCATCGCTGTTTGCCATTTTAAATTTCCCACGCAAGAAGACTTCCACTTCCCGAGGCTTTCCGAATGGTCCCACATTACATTTCTATAATTCTATCAAGTAAACGCTGGATTGATTTAAATTTACATTTTCTTTTAAACTCTTTATTGTTAAACTTGATAAAACAATACGTGGATATGTAATTGGGCAGTAAGCAAGAAGAGAAATGGTTACTCATTATCATTCACTGCGGTCCAGAAGTTTACAAATCGAGAAGTTCCGAGTAAATATTTTGTTTCGAGATAACACTCGTTACACTTCTTCAGGTATTTTTGGCACCTATGACTTATGACCGATTTTACCTCACTGTATATGACTGCATAGCACCATGAGTGATAATAGGAGAAAAAGATACAACCCAGGGCAGCGCACGCGGCCAGATAACGGCGAAAACAACTACAGAAACTCGTCTGCCCCATTGCGGGGATCAAGTCGGAATAACAATTCTCAGTTTAGCGTAAGTTGTGAAGGAATTTCAAGTGGAGTTTAAATAGATTTTAAAAAAGAAGTTTTTGCTGTTTTCCTTAAAAAATTGACCGGATGACTCATGCCTTTAGCAATATTTGCTATACCTATTTATAAGTATTACATCTCATATATGTTTAGACCTGTTCAAGAGTTCATAATTAACATGTGTTGTAAGTTCAAACTCTTGTCACCTTTGTTGACGTTGTTATGCATAAGCTGTGAACGTAGCTTGATAATAAAGTCTCATTTTTTTTATAAAGTTTGCCTCAGTATCATTGCATTAGAGAATTCTGTTTACATTAAAACTGTATCTGTTGCAGGAGGTTGTTCTCTGTGTAAATTGAATAATTTGTAAAAGAACAATTTCACGTTTAAAGGAGGTTTTTGACTTGTATCAGGGTTCGAAATTCACTAGATACAACTCGCAAAACGCGAGTTAGAATTCCCCAATTGCGAGTTAAAAATTAGGTAACTCGCAAAAACTTGCAAGTTGATTTTTTTTTGCATTGAAACTGTAGCAAAATTATATAATATGACAGAACACAATGCCTTTGATTTAAATCAGTAATTTAAAAAAAAGTCACACTGTAGTTGTATTTTGTGTATTGTACAGTAGTTTTTTTCTTAAGTTACATGTATTTAATTTATATAAATTTAACTTTATATGCATGATATGAAAATTGCGAGTAGTCTTATAAAATTGCAAGTTCACTTTCTTGGTACTCGCAATTATTTGCGAGTTGTAATTTTAGGGAGTGTCTAACCCTACGTATTCATGCATAGGGAGAATGTTGCAAACAGCTTGCAAGGAACTTTCATAGCCCATACCTATGTAGTCATTTGAGATAGATGGACTGTATTGGCCTGGGTAGCTCAGTGGTTAGAGCACCTTAATTAGTATGCAGGGGTTGAAGGTTTGATTCCCGGTCCAGCTTATATTCATTATGTATTTGTAAATTTTCAATGTATGTTTTTTCATTCCTTCTTTCCATAATACAACTATACAGTAATATATTTATCTGGCAATATTTGTCTAAAAATTGTAAAATATAGCAAATACAATGGGTACAGGAGAATTGTTGGCATAGCTAGAGTCTCATGGGTGGTTTCTGCTACTCGTTTTTTTATTGTGATGTTTGGTGGATGGTTTTTCAATGAAGACATTGTACATCTTACCTGACTTAGAAGTTTTGGTATTCTGATAATAATGATTTGTGATGAGGATCATTGCTAGCTTTCATAAAAAGTTTTCATGGTTAAAGAGTAGTGTTGGAAGTTTTGATAGAGAAAGTCTTCACTTTTCATTTGAATAAATAATGCTGGTGCAATATTACCGGTTAACCAGTGAATCTTGATTTTGTTGTTCACAATATGTATTACAGTACTTTTTTGTGATTACCAGTTTGGGTATGATATTCTGTAAAATGTTGCAAAAAGAGTTACTTGCCCTTGTTCAAGTAAGAAATGGTGGAAACCATACAGAATTGATTAGAAACAAAAAGAAAAAAGCTGCTACATGAAACCACTTGAAGTTAAAACTGAAATTATTGCAAGGAGACTATTAAATATTGTCGTGGCACAACAAACTCGTGCGCTGGCACCACATGGCCAGACAATGTTGAGATCAACTTGAGAACACATGATATGTGCTTTTTTGTTTTCACATGTAAAAAAATAAGAGAAGAAAAGGCAAAAATGAATATGAATTAATTTAATGGTTTAAAATTGCAATATATTGCGATATAATTTTTCAGTCATGATACCCAGCTCTATAGACATGATAAATAAAAATGATGTGTTAATCAATAAAATATCTTCAGTATGTCTAAATTTCTAATTGAAGGCCACAGCAAGAGCTTTCTTCCTATCAAATAAAAGTTAATGAATGAATTTTTGCTTCATAAGAATACAAAAACAAATCGGAAAATAAAAGCTGCAAAATTTGTGCCCATTGGAATTCCAACAGATTGTTGGAGAACAGTCTCCAGTAATTACACAGAGATGTTACTTACTACCCTGCCGTGTTGGGGAGCTAGTTTTTTGACATTGCAGTAGATTGTAGCCTTGGATCATACACTTTATTCTATAACATTTGTTAACTAAGGTTGTTGTTCAGCTGGTATTTCATCCACATTACAAAGAACAGAGAAGTGAATTTGTCAGGCTTTTTAAAGTAGGTATATCAAAGCTTAACACTAATGAAAAAATGAACACTGCTGCTTTTGATTAAAAATCTGTTGGTATTTGTTTAAATATGAGCTTCCTTTATTCTCAGTGTTGTACATACTAGCAATAGGTTGATGTTTGAAATCAAAACCAAGGCAAATTGTGTAAATCCCAACACAAGTCTGTAAAAATTAACCTGTCAATCAGCAAACAGCCCAAATCTTCTCTCTAATCTATTATAATCCATAACTTTTTTTGTGGCTATTCCAGGATAAATTGGTGTCTTACCCAGAGAAAGTACACGTCTTTTTAGTCTGTTTCGCAGAAACCTGTATATACACATTACACAATGCAGTTTTAATTTCTGTTTTTGCTAACATAACATGTGCAATCTATTCAGAGCATACACATTTCACTGTAAGCATTTGTATTGGGGTGTGTGTGTGTGTGTGGGGGGGGGGGGGGGGGGTTTACTGAAATCCTATTTTGAAATAAAAATATGAAGTTTCCTATGCAGAGTTTTGTCTTTTCATCCATTATTACTTGAAGCATCCATCTTACATGACTATGGTCTATTTTGTGACAAAAGTCAAGGTCACTCTGGCTTTGAGCTGTTAACATGTTCTTTGTCCATGGCATTGGAGTGCCTCCAAGGAAATGTTGAACCTGTGTAAAAGTAATAATAATATTAAACTTTGAACACATAGTGCTAGATGTACATGATGTAGTTAGAAAACAGCATCGTATAATAACATGATTTTATATTTGTGTTTTGTTTCTTACAGCACCAGAACATAACCAGAATGAATAGTTATGACCATGTCCGTAAAATAGTCCAGGAGGAGGGGAGAACAGCTAGAAATCTGGTCATCTACAATGTCCCGGTCAGACAACACACAGGTAAGACAACATGTAGGTAAGACAACACACAGGTAGATGACATACAAGAAGAAAACATGTAGGTCAGACAACACACAGGTAGACAACATTCAGGTAAGACAGCATGTAGGTAAGACAACACACAGGTAGACAACATGTAGGTAAGACAACACACAGGTAAGACAACACACAGGTAGACAACACACAGGTAAGACAACATGTAGGTAAGACAACACACAGGTAGACAACACACAGGTAAGACAACATGTAGGTAAGACAACACACAGGTAGATGACATACAAGTAAGACAATATATAGGTCAGACAACACACAGGTAGACAACATACAGGTAAGACAACATGTAGGTAAGACAACACACAGGTAGACAACATACAGGTAAGACAACACACAGGTAAGACAACATATAGGTAAGACAACACACAGGTAGACAGCATGTAGGTAAGACAACACCAGGTAGACAACACACAGGTAAGACAGCACACAGGTAGACAACATATAGGTAAGACAACATACATCTAAACAACACACAGATATGCATGGTTATCTGAAACCTGATTGTTTGGTGTGAAGTCATTGGTTTGATTACCTTGTCAAACATTTGATACTCTAGACACTGGTAGAGTAAATGTATGCATACTGCACCTTGTCAATGTTAATCATAAAACATACCAACCTTTACAAAAAAGCTGTATTCTATTGTTCTTAGAAAGTTTAAGAGGATTAGCAGGAAACTGAAAATGATTAGATTTTTATATTGTAAAGATGACATTCTATATTGACAGTGACTCAGTTTTTCAGATATATTCAAGTATTGTAAATTTCAAGGAAAATTTGATCTAAAGGAGGAACCGTGTAGATTTGTGTGTGGTTTGATTGTGGTTTGGTCTTTCTTGCTATTTCACAGCTATTTATCTAGAACAAAAGTGGACTTTTAATTAAATTTACGATAATCAGTATGGCAAGTGAAATCTACATATAGTTTATGGAAATCATCTCATACGTCGTGTAATAGTAGAGGAGTATACACGGGTCAAGTTACATTGTATCCGGAGTTTATTTGCAAGATATATTAATATGTAAGTATAATTGGGAAAAAAATGTGCTGATGAAGAACGGCAAGGCCATATTGACTCTGGTGAGCATTGTGACCCATTGGCTTTTTTATTTAAAAACATGAGTTATGGTTAAGGCATGCCATACTCATACTCAAATATTTTAAGAAACATGAATTTTATGAATGTCATGTTTGTTTACAATTCAACTGTAAGTCCGTAGGTCAATGATGTATCTAGAACTTTCAATACCCCCCCCCCCCCCCCAATCACTCAAGGTCCTCACCAAGATCCTTAATTAGGTCAAATCTTAAATAGGTCAAACAACTCTGATATTTGTTCTATACAATTATTGTAGTAACTCTTTTGTTATGGTAAGCATTTTATGTCTCATTGCTTTGTATTCAAAATGCATGAATTCAACCAATATTTCTGCATTAGTCACTTACCTGGGTAATTAAACCTATAAATGGTAGAAAAGGAGAGACCTGAACTGAATCCACGGGGAATCTGTAACCCAATTATAATGGGGGAGTAATAGGAATGGAGGCTGTCTGAGAACAGGACAGTTCTGGGGGAATATTGATTTTATTATTATCAATACACACCGATATGCTACAGAACAGCAGTAGAAATAATGACAGTTTATAGTGCATTATAGAGCAGGGTTTTCTAAGCAATCACTGACTTACGATTTGTCCTGCAACTGGAAGATGCACCCACTTGTAATTGTTTAATGTGTGTGAGTTTCTTGTGTTGGATTTCTTGGTTTAATGGCTGAGTCTCTGTTGACTGTCTGGAGAGTTTAGCATGAGTCATGAGGCTCTCAAGATCTCAATTTTCAGGTAAGCTCAGAAATTCCCTCAATATCAAATGAAAAAAAGTAGAGATTGTTTATTGATTTCTGTGTATTTGAGTGAAATGCACCACTTAAAAATGTATTAGAATTCACAGTAATCAACTAATTGTGGAGTGAGTTGTAGTCATTGTATAGTCAGTTAATTGAAGAGTTTTACAGACAACTTTGAAACATGTCTGGACAGTTATATAGACAAGTAAGTGTATAGACAGTTATACAGACAAGTTGGTGAATAGACAGTTATACAGACAAGTTGGTGTATAGACATTTATACAGATGAGTTATGCATTTTAGAAACAGTTTATGGCATTAACTGTAAGTTAATAGCATTCCATAGATTTGGTGATCTAAGCAGTCTTTTGTGTACAATTATATAGATGCTAAATCTCTTCTTTTAGAGTCGTCCTACAAGAAACCATTAAAGGATCAAACACAACAGAAGAATAAATCCCGATCTGTATCAGAGTCTGACACCAAAAGTCTCCAGGATCTGACCAAATCTCCAAAATCTGATTCCGGTACCAGGAAATCGGACCGGCGGGCTCGGTACTGGAAGTTCCTGTTTGACAATCTACAGAGAGCTGTGGATGCTATTTACGACACATGTGAGACAGATGAAAGTGTCTTAGAATGCAAGGTAAAGAAGGGCTTTGTGCTTGATGCTGCATTTAAGATTTGAATTCATCTATATAACAGTTTACTTATTTCCCTTTTGACACCTAATCTTGTAAGTTCCAATTCGCAAAATATTTAGAATGTTTTCAGTGTGTATATAATGACCATTATACATATAAATTATTCATTGCCTCTGGATTTTACCTATTTATTGAGTGTGTATATTAAGAAAACCTTAAGTTATTTATCCATGCACAGAATCAGCTCAGAAGTGAATCTTTGACAAGATTTTTTAAAGTTATGCAAATCTCAGTTTAATGGTTGTGAAACTGATTGGAGGCACTCTTGAGACAACAGTATAATTAAATAAAGAGATTTAATAAAACATAGCCAATAAAGAAAGGTAGGCTTATGGGTTATACACTGCAAACATATAACTCCACAAACTAATGACAACATCCATTCTGACACAGTATCTTGATGAGGTGTAATGAGGAAAATTATTGCATTATGTTGTGAACATTAGCAGGAATATTGTCTTTGGATTACTTTTCCCAGGAATAGATATTGTCTATCGATGAATTATGTATGATAGTTTTATTTGCTTGAGGTTCAATACCAGACAGAAGAGAAAATGAATGTTTCTATGAAACACTAGATTGAAACATCTGGTGTATATCCCCCCCAACCCCCCAAAAATATTATCTTTTTTTATTATTATTATAGCATTACACTTGAAACGATTAAATTTTGGTACAGTGTTACAAAGGAATTGCTTTGATCATGTTACATTGTGTTACACAAAATCATTTAATGCTGTATAACATTGTTACAAAGGAAGTGATTTGATAATGTTACATTGCTGTACAGAAAGTTATTTGATTTTTTTATATTGTTACACAATAAATGATTTAAATTAGTTACATTTATATGCAGGAAGTGATTTAACTTTGTTACATTCTTTCACGGAAGTGATTTAGTTTTGTTACATTGTTACACAGGAAGTATTGTAATTTTGTTACATTGTTACACAGGAAGTATTGTAATTTTGTTACATTGTTACATAGGAAGTGATGTAATTTTGTTAAATTGTCACAGGAAGTGATGTAATTTTGTTAAATTGTCACAGGAAGTGATGTAATTTTGTTAAATTGTCACAGGAAGTGATGTAATTTTGTTACATTGTTCTGTAGGAAGTGATCATGATGTTGGACAACAGTACTCGTGATTTTAAGTCATTGATTGAGAGACTCCACACAATGAAGGCTTATGAGGATGCCACGAAGGAGGGGGACCGGTAAGTGGTGCCACCTATAATAAGATCTGATGTGTGGGCCTTATTCTCTAGTTTCTCTTTGATATTTGATAGTTAAAAATCCAGTGCTCTGTCATTTATAATGCAGATAAAATAAAGAGCACAGGTAAACAAAGAAAATGTAATCTTTTTTTCTATTACTCAAGATTATAGTCAAGTAAGCTTGATATTTATTAAAATAGTGTATGAGTTTATTTTTATTCTGTTTCTTTGAAATGTATTTATTTTAAATAAGAGAGAATCCTCCATTTTCCTACACAGCTTTCCTTGTAATCATTATCTTTAATTGATTGTTAACAGGCCAACATCAATAGCTTGGGAGGTGAGGAAGATGTCTCCGGGGAAGGCCAATAGCCAGGGACAGGTCCCGGTCAATACTCCCACTAGCCCCGCCCAGAGGGTATTACAGTTTACAGACCACAACAGAACAGAGTAAGATTTACAACCAGACCTGATCTTAGAGTCAGTATATTTAGAGTGCAGTTTTTGTTAAACTATTATAAAAATCATAAATTGGAAGAAAGTTTTGTTCAAAAGGGTGGTTGGTGCATCACACCTAAGATTTACAGGAATAGGTTTATAAATATACTGTGTTTATGCTGTCTGGTTTGAGAAATTGACATCCCCAGGTAATGCTAATTCAAGATCTTATTTATGCTTTGGATGAAAAATCGTAGAGAAGTTCATGCTCCATAAAGTTAACTTTCATTTTCCAGAACAGAAAGTGATGGGAACAGCTGGGCCGATAAAGTGAGGGGTAAATCCAACACTCCCACCTCCTCTCTCATAGACGGGGTCAAGACCCCTACTCCAGCCTCCCCACAAATACAAGGTAGCACATCCCCCATATCCCCGGGGCCAGTATTACCTTCACCACCCCCAAAACAGAATGGACACACAGATGATGTGGATACAGATGGAAGCACAACTATAGAAGGTTGATAGTTCATGATTTCTATTATAATTCTTGATTTCTTCTAAAATAAAAGGTTTTGCAGCCTAAAAGTGACTTTTAAGTGAATGCAGTGAATTTATGAATAACAACAAGGGATATGTTGTAATGAAAATTATTGTAACATGATCTTTGTTTCAGATGACAATGAGGGCTGGGAAACTGTCCACAGACCACCAAAAGGTCGTGCCAGAAATTCTCCCTCTCAGCGGTCCCTAGAGAATCTGACAGGGGTTGGAAAATCACCGGCCAAACTCCAGCGAACATACTCAGACCCACACACGGCAGGGCAGAGGAGACCGCCCTGGAATCATGGGGGAGGAAAGGGCAGAACTCCACCTCAAAAAACTGTGTTCAGGACTTCTCTGGGAGAGAGACGGGACAGTGAAAAAGAGAACCGCCCCCAGACTCTGTCACTCTCTAAGTCAAGGCTTGATTCCAACAAAAGTGGGTCCACGGGGTCACTGAGTAAACCAACAAAATCCTACAGCAACTCTGTCAAACAGAGTAGTTTGTCCCCACCTACTGTCCAGTCCTACAGCAGCTCTGTCAAAGAGGACAGTAGATCTCTGCCTTCTGTCCTAACAAAGGAGGAGAGAACAGAGGAAAAGCTCCAACCAGAGATATTACCCACAGAGGTCAAAGAGGAAGGGCTGGTAAATAAAATTCTCGAAGAGGTCAAGGCCGTCTCTCCGGTGATGGAGGAATCTGCTACAGAGGATGAAGAGGCTCTGGTCATAGACAAGGTGGGATTTGTTTCAGAAGTGAGGAAACTTGGTTAATGTTGAATTAATGATTGACTTTAATATATTATTGTTGCTTGTTTGTCGGCTTGATTAACGTCCCTTTGAGAAATTTTCACTCATATTGAGACATCACCACTTGCCGGTGAAGGGCCTGCAAATTTAGACCTGTACTTGACACTTAAGGTCTTTGAGCAGTGAGGGATCTTCTTTGTATCAGCATCTACTTTGACACAGAATCTCAGTTTATATGGTCTCATCCAAAGGACTGGTCTCCATGTCACACAGTGGATTCAAACCTGCGACATAAAAATCAACTCCCTTGCGACTCTAGAGCAATCGCTCTAACCACTGTGCCATGTGGGCAACTGAATATATTATTGTAAAATGTGTAGATAATTGTAATGATTGGCAGCTATAGTCTATACGTGATTATTTATAGGCCCTGGCCTCGGCAATGGATGAAGAAGAAGCTCTGACCAATCAGCTAGAGGAGGAGCAGCAGCAGGCATTACAGACGGCCATCGAAGAAGAGGAGGTCTGGCTCAAAGAACTCGCTCGCGAGGAAAACACTGTCATCGAAGTAGAGACCGAGACAGAAACAGAGAATGAGCTCGGGGTGAGGCTTGATTACAGTCTTCTCTACAGTAGTCAGGTGGAATTAAGAATGTGGCCAGTTGTTGTCAATTTGCTTGGCTTTGTTTACAGTCAATTGATTATTACAGTTGAACTTCGGTATCTCGAACACTGATATCTCAAATACCATGGATATGTTGAAGTGATTTGGAAGTCCCAACTACTTATTCTATAAGTATTTTACCCTCGATATCTCGAATCCTCGGATATCTCGAAGTTTTTTCTTGGTCCCATTGAATTTGAGATAACAAGGTTTGACTACTTCATTTGACTGTATAAATTTTCAGTACAATGTACATGTAATTTAAAAAAAGCAAGATGACAAGTTGTTTATGAAATAAAAATTTATTTTGTTGTAGAACACAATGAGCTCCTTAGAATCATCTCAGAAGTCACTAGATTGGGACACAATATGTGCACAGTATGAAGGTACTGTAAACATACACATAGTACATGTAATTTATGAATGAAAATTAATCTGAAAAACCAAAAATAGTTATAAACTTCATTAAATAGAAGTTTAAGCTTCATAATCCATGGATTTAGATTTTTAAAAATTGATTGAATCATATGTTCATGTCAAGGTGTCTTTAGTAAGCCCAATCAGTTTCTCACTTCAATCTGTACCGATAAAGAATTTTGTAAGAATTTTAGTGTGTTAGTTTTGTATCTTTGCTCATTCTGGACTTACTTTTGCTCACTAGCCAAGTCCGAGAGTGAGAGGAACAAATCGTGGGGAGAGATGGTAGAGGAGGAGGATGAACAGGAAGCCAGGACTCCAGGACACGCCGTCCACATGCATGAAAAACTGTCCTCCCCCTCCCGCAAAAGGTGACAAGTTTGGATCTGGACAAAAAATACACTTGTAGTTGCTGTATTTATTTAGGAAGATGCATATTTTGGTTTTTACACACTAAGTTCTCCTGAGCACTAATTCAAGATCGCTTCCAAATATAAATATGCTAGGTACACTAATTATGATATGTACACATTCCTATTGCTTTTCCTGTCTAAAGAATTATGATTTTTTACTGTGTCCTAATAATGAATTGGCCAAGTTATATGCTTTAAAATTACAGTGTACTTTATCTCCCAGAAAAAGTGCTTACATTATTTCAGTTTATATGTATGTGGAAAATGTAAGGTATTGCACTTTGTTTGTATTTTGATTTTAGCCTTTTGTAAACTTTTCACAAGCAGACTGTGTCATTTAGTAGGAATCAGATCTGAGATGATTGTGTCAGTCAGTAGAAATAGATTTGCTTCTCCTTTTGACAGGTCCCCCACAGAATCTAGAAAGCGACATGAACAAAAACAGGCCAAGGCCCGGGAACTCCGAGAAAAACTCATGCAGGAAAAAGCTGAGAGACTCAAGGACATCTCCAAAAAGGTACTCAGTTTAGAAAAAGGTGCTTGTTTTTTGGTGATTTTATATTTTGTCAATGATTTCTGTTAGACAGAATGTAGTATTATGAATTAAAAGCTGGGAGTGAGGGCTGTGATGAAAAGACTAGACACATGTATTATGAGAGCCAAATTTGTTCCTTCATCTTGTTTTACATGTACATGAAAATTGGCACACAGCTAATTTTGCAATAGTATGTAATTATGCAGCTAAAATGATGCCTGCATCAAAACCATGGTTAACTTGGAATGAAAGCATAAATGAGTAACAAGAAACTGCTAGCATAAAACAACTTTTGGAATTTTCATAAAATTTCCCATTTAACATTGGCAAACACAAATGACTCCTTTAATTTTATGTGGATGTATGCATGAGTATGCATAAAATAGTAAATTCAGCAGATACTATAACATATTACAGCTGTTTATTTAGCTATGTATTCTATTTAGTGCCTTTGGCAGAAAGCAGCTTCCGCTAAATCAAGTACTTTACTAGCACATTCAAACATGAAAACCTGCGCTACATTTTTGTAAAATCTGTTTCCGCCAAATACTGTACATGCTAAATATAATACATTCACAATATGGTAGCTTGTGTTTGGTATTTTCTAAGATGAATTTCAAAATTGTAAAAAAAAAATTTATGATATGGACATTGGGATATTTAGCATTTCTGTGACCTTTGTGTATGCTATCACTTCAAATCAAAATTCATTTTCATACTGTAGATCACCAAATTTTCGCAACACCTTATTTTTTTGAGATGGTCATTTGGTATTTACAAGCGAGACATTATTTTCATTAATTCTGGTTATTATTCTGTATAATCTTCAGTAATACAAGTGTATGTGAGGATAAAATTCGCAAGCAGGAAGACTGGTCTAATTACATGGAAATAAAGTTCTCGGGAATAAAAGTGATTTACAGTATCTACATAATCTTGGGTGTTCAGTTATTAGCTACATATGTTTTATTGTCTTGAGACTTACTCAAGCAAGGTCCAGAAAAATTTCATATTTATCATTGTGGCTGAATTCTGCAATGGCTGCTGAATTCTGCAAATGTGCAGTTGTCAAATTCAGCAAGATGTCAGTAAGTATTGGCATTGAAGGGAAAATAGAAGCATATTTCTAAGACTGCTTAAAACTTGAGACAATGAATGATATGAGCTTTTTAGCTGTCAGTTTGGGCAATCATTAAATTCTTCAAACTTGTGAAATTCAGGCCTCTCCTGATCTTTTAATGTATTATGTTTTGTTTATGTACCAGTTGAAAACGGTAAGAATTCTAAAAGATTTCTAGTCCTGTAGATCACATGTTTATAGGAGATAATATTGTCTGTATATTTTAAAGGTGGAGGAAGTGAGGGCATGGAAGGATGAATTGTTACAACAACGGAAGGGTACGATACAGAGGAAGATGGCAAAGGCTGAGGAGAGACGTCAATTACAAATCCGGATCAAGGCACAGAAAGCTCACGAAGAGGAGGCAAAGGTCAGGCTAAATGCCAGCATTAGTCCTTATTGATCCATTTCTGTTTTGTATGCTATTAATTTTGAAAGTATGTTCAGAACTATCACATGACAAAGGACTGTATTCTCTAATGACAAATATTTGCCCCCAAATTCAAACTTTAATTAATGGAGAATCTATAACTCTGTTCTAAATTATGTGGATATCAACAGACTTGAAAGCATTACCTATTTTCATCATCCCTGACGTCATATTAGATATGACCTCAAGAAGATGTCATAAATTCAAAATTACAATAATTCTGAGAGAAAAAGGTATATTTTACGTCAATATTATGATTAAAAGTCATGGAGTAAAGTTCTGCTCAAGCTCGATCTTTTGATATAATGTGTAGAATTATAATATCAATGAAATATGTGAATAATGTTCTGGGAAAGCTTGCGCTCAGTAAATTCTATACTGAAAATTGAACAAATTTTGTCCTCTGTCTTGAAAATAATGGAAAACCCAAATAGTTTGTGATGTCACAGAAAAAATAATTTCCGATAATGTACTTTAAAACTATCATTTTTGTCGATTAAGATTTTTCAGACAATATATACAGTTGTGTACATTTCTAAAGATTTTCAAAACTTCCCTTTTATGTGGGCAAAAATATGCTTTTACCGAATATAGTCCTTTGCCACGCATAGAAAAGAAATATTATCTAAGTACACAGTGTTTAGTATTTAATAACAGTTTTATTAGGTCACCTGACCCGAAGGCACTAGTGAGCTTTTTTGATCAAAATTGTCCATTGTCTGTCGGCATTGTTGTGTTGTCATAAACATTTTACATTTTTAGCATCTTATGCCCCCCCCCCCCCCCCCCAAGGAGGGTGGGGCCACTGTGGGCGATCTAAGTTTTTCATGGGAAAACATAGGAAAAATCTTCTTTTCAAGAACAGCAAAGCCATGATTGGCCATATTAATATGGAAACATCCTCAGGTAGTGAAGATTGAAGTTTGTTCAAATCATGACCCCTGGAGGTAGGATGGGGCAAAGACTGGGGGTCAAAGTTTTACATAGGAATATATAGGAAGAAATCTTTAAAAATCCTTTTCTGAGGAACAACAAAGCCATGATTAATCATATTTATATGGGAGCATCATGAGGGGATGTTGGTTCATGTTTATTCAGGTTCAAGTTTGTTCAAATCTTGAACCCAGGGGGAAGGTAGGGGCCACAATGTGGATCAGAGTTTTACATAGGAATATATAGGAAAAACTTTTCAAGAACAGCAAAGTCATGATCAGTCAGATTTGTTTGGAATTATCCTCAGGTAGTATAGATTTTAGTTTGTTCAAATCATGACTCCCTGGGGTAGAATGGGGCCACAATGTTGGATCAGTGTTTTACATAATAATATAGGGAAAAGAATCTGTTGATGAAGAACAGAATGACCCTAAGTTATTCAGGTGATCATTGTGGTCCATGGGCCTCTCGTTTGACAGATGGCAATTTTTTTTGGAAAGACACAACTTATTTGAATCAAGGATTATAAGACACAATGTTCTGTACTTGTTTAGGATTATATTTTTCTAATTTCTTATTCAATTTGACCTGGCTTAGAATGGCAAGCTTTACATGGCCTAGATATTTTGGTTTGCATGGCATTAAAATTTTCAGTTTATATTTGTCCTGGAAGGGGATAAGCTTATTTTCTTTGTACTTTTCTAAGGGCAAGGAAATAGAATTTATCAACACATTGGAGGCTCAGAACAAACGACATGAAATAATGTCCAAACATCAGGTGTCTGAGGCTCGACTACAAGACATACAGGTGGGTGTGTCAAGGAAATGGTCAGTAAATGGGTGTGTTGAAGAAAAACGTCTTCATTGTTCAATGAGGCTTAATGCTGCTTTATTAAATGCTTTTTTTCCCACTAGAACGAATTATCATAAATTTAAATCCTGAATATATGTCTTAATACTTCGGTTAGTTCATATGTGCATGATATATGAATGCTGCTTCAAAATTAAAAGAAAATGCATGGAAAGAGACCTTGTTTTTCTAGCCATTACTACGGTAATTACATTCTGTGTATATATTGTGTTAATATTAAGTTATGCTTAATTGACATGTGCACCTTTTATGTGATAGGACGAGAGACAGCGACGTCATGAGGAAAAGTTGGCAAAGGAAGCTGCTGTGGAGGAAAGGAGGAAAGCCTTGGAGGCAGAAAGACAGGCAAGGCTGAAGGAAATGGAGGAAAAGAGGAAACAAAGGTCTGCACGGGCAGAACAGCAACAACAGGAACGTGAAAAGGAAAGGCTGGAAAATATCAGGGCGAAGGAAAGGTCAGGGTTATCAAGTATGCTCTGTGTTAGGGGTGAGATTGGAAAGGTCAGGGTTATCAAGTATGCTCTGTGTTAGGGGTGAGATTGGAAAGGTCAGGGTTATCAAGCATGCTCTGTGTTAGGGGTGAGATTGGAAAGGTCAGAGTTATCAAGTATGCTTTGAGTTAGGGGTGAGATTGGAAAGGTCAGGGTTATCAAGTATGCTTTGAGTTAGGGGTGAGATTGGAAAGGTCAGGGTTATCAAGTATGCTCTGTGTTAGGGGTGAGATTGGAAAGGTCAGGGTTATCAAGTATGCTGTGTGTTAGGGGAGAGATTGGAAAGGTCAGGGTTATCAAGTATGCTCTGTGTTAGAGGTGAGATTGGAAAGGTCAGGGTTATCAAGTATGCTCTGTGTTAGAGGTGAGATTGGAAAGGTCAGGGTTATCAAGTATGCTCTGTGTTAGAGGTGAGATTAGAAAGGTCAGGGTTATCAAGTATGCTCTGTGTTAGGGATCAGATTGGAAAGGTCAGGGTTATCAAGTATGCTCTGTGCTAGGGATCAGATTGGAAAGGTCAGGGTTATCAAGTATGCTCTGTGTTAGGGGTGAGATTGGAAAGGTCAGGGTTATCAAGTATGCTGTGTATTAGGGGTGAGATTGGAAAGGTCAGGGTTATCAAGTATGCTCTGTGTTAGAGGTGAGATTGGAAAGGTCAGGGTTATCAAGTATGCTCTGTGTTAGGGGTGAGATTGGAAAGGTCAGGGTTATCAAATATGCTCTGTGTTAGGGGTGAGATTGGAAAGGTCAGGGTTATCAAGTATGCTGTGTGTTAGGGGTGAGATTGGAAAGGTCAGGGTTATCAAGTATGCTCTGTGTTAGAGGTGAGATTGGAAAGGTCAGGGTTATCTAGTATGCTTTGAGTTAGGGGTGAGATTGGAAAGGTCAGGGTTATCAAGTATGCTGTGTGTTAGGGGTGAGATTGGAAAGGTCAGGGTTATCAAGTATGCTCTGTGTTAGAGGTGAGATTGGAAAGGTCAGGGTTATCAAGTATGCTTTGAGTTAGGGGTGAGATTGGAAAGGTCAGGGTTATCAAGTATGCTCTGTGTTAGGGGTGAGATTGATCTTAATTTGAGGGAAGGCTAATCTCTGTAAGACTTGTTAAAAACTCTGGCCCCTCAGTGTAAGTGGAGAATGCTTTTCACTTGTTTAATATTTCAGTTTGGTTTGGAAGGATCTGATACATGTTTCATCAAAATTTTTGCATAGTTTGTGATCAGCTGTTCCGATCATATATTATTACTCTTAGTTATGTCAGATGAAATTATTTCATTCTTTACGTGAATTTTGTTTCTGATTGACACAAGTTGTTGATAAGGTTATCATGCTAGTTATAAATGGGGTAAATAGGAGATTCTGTAAGGACTTGTATAAAATAAAGCCCTTGTTTTGTAACAGAGAAAGAGAAGAAAGGTTGGCAGTACTTAATGCCCAGCATCAACAACATATCCAGGAATTACAGAAGAAAATCCAGCAAAAGGTAGGATATACAAGATTTACTGTACAATGCATCTTTAACTACAGGGAATGAAAATTACTTCATTGTAAGTGTGAATTCTTTATAAGCATGTTCACTGTAACCATGTTTTACTGTATACAAAATTACAAGAAATACATTACACATTACATACATGAAACATTCAATTGCCATTGTAACTAGTATTAGAAAAAAAAGTATGTTACATTGTTTCAGAATGCCTCTTCTATAATTACACTACTTATTATAAAGAAGAATTATGTGTAATTCTGTTTATATATTTTTTTACTTCAGTGGTTTACATTTTAAATAATTCAATAAATCTATTTGGATAAAGTTGATTACAATGATTCCATGATTTATTTTAACATTTACAGCAAGATGAGACAAGCCAGCGACACCAGGAGAATTTACAGCAGATTCGAGAGAAGGCGTTTGAGATGAGTATTCTGAAACATTCCACGGAGGAACATAATGAAGCCCCAAATGTTGTACCATACGACCACAAGAAACTCTGCACCATCTGTAATGTGCTGGTAAGATTAAAACATTCACTTTGTTTTGAAGGTCCACTGAAATTAAATTTTAACTATAATTGTACTACAAAATATTTTGGGAAATGTACAGTTTTTAAACGTTTTTATAAAATTCCTTCCAGTAATTTTTAGTAAACACTTGTACTACTTCATTGTTTTGTACTCAAGGGATTTTTGTTGATGGGGGGGAGGGGGGGGGGGAGGATGAATAATAATAAGAAACCAGTGTTGATTAATTCCTTGCATACAAGTCAAAGATTTAAACTGGGGTCACTGTCTGTTTGTTTGTCTGGTGGTACTCTTACTTCTCGAAAGTCTCCACTGAGTCACATTAGTTCTCTGTTTTTGTACAAAGTATACCTGTTGAGTCACACTTATTCTATATTCTTGTACAGATAATTCTCTTTGTTTTTGTACAGATACCTACGGAGTCACATTGAATCTTTGTTTATGTACCGATACCTACTGAGTCACATTGAATCTTTGTTTTTGTACAGATAACATCCGAGGTATACTTGTTGAGTCATCTGAGGGGAAAGAAACATCAGCAGGCATTACAGGATAACAACTCAGGGACGGCCATGTCCAAACAGGAAATAGTAAGTCTATCCAATAAATAAACTCAGGGACAGCCATGTCCAAACAGGAAATAGTAAGTCTATCCAATAAATAAACTCAGGGACGGTCATGTCCAAACAGGAAATAGTAAGTCTATCCAATAAATAAACTCAGGGATGGCCATGTCCAAACAGGAAATAGTAAGTCTACCCAATAAATAAACTCAGGGACAGCCATATTGTCCAGTTAAAATATTTTTTAAGATGCACTGAATTAAATACTTAAGAACACAGCTCTTATTCTCAATCTCTGCTCACTACAATAAAATTGTAAAACAAAAACCACCCTGTTTGTCAAACATTTTGGGTAGAGACAGGTTTGTTAATGCATGCCATTGCAATCAAATTTAATATTGATCCATGTTCAACAGACATCTTTATTTACAATCCATAAATGTTTGAAGTAGAGGAGTAAAATTGTTTTATAACTGTACCAACAAAAAGTTTAAGAATGAGGTTTTAAGGGGATGAAGGACACATGGTCACATGACTCTATTTAACTACGTCATAGTCTCCGTTTATATAAGCGCAAAACGTGTAAAGCATCAGTTTTTGTATAATTTTTGACAATTTCTTAACTTTAATTACCATCTTATATAAAAAAAAATAAAAAAGTTTTAACATTCTTGTAAACATTAACAAATTATGAAAAAGATTGATCCACTCCTCTGTTCCCTAAACTGCGCGTCCAACAAGTCGGTGACGTCATACATGATTTGTTAGTACAGCAAGATCATACTCGGTGAACACAGGGGCGGTATTATTACATAAAAACAGGTCATAATCAGTATATGATGAAATATTTTGAGAAACGGGGAACACAAAAATTATTTTTGCATGGCTGATGACGGAAATCTTATGTAGGTATATCTTATTTCGTTTATTTAGCTTACGTGTGACGTCATAGTTGGTTTTTTGTAAATTACGTTTTTTATTGTTTACGTTGTCTTAAAAAGTGCGTTATTTTCCCTATCCAGATGCAGTGTGATAGACAAAACTTGCTTTTTCGAATTTTAAATCCTAGTTATACTCTGAAATATTTTAAAAGATACATGTCCACTTCGATATTTTTTATGTATGCTTAAAAAATCCCATTATGGACAGAGTAATGCGCCTGGAAACATGGAGAATTAAAACTCCACTTAGATATTGTAGGGCAGAGTATTTGTCAATCAATATCTCCAAAATAAGGTAAGAAATCTAATGATTTAACTGCTTTAAGATATGTGGGACATGCTTAATTAGAAATATACAAAATATGAAAAAAATTGAATGACAAGTATTTTTTCAGCTCAAGGTCCTTCTCCTCCTTAAGCTAAAGCTTTCTGGTTGTAAGGACATCGTTATAAATTATACAATTTTATATTGATATATTTGTTAGTCTTGTACTGACAGAGGATCTGGGTTTTTTTTCAGGAGAACTTTAATCTTAAGCACATTGTGAATGCCCCTACCAACAGCACCCACCCCAAGATAGTGTCTGAGAAAGAACGACTTAAGTCCATGAAGAAGAGGTCAAAGAAACTCAGGCAGAGAATGACCACTAGGTAGGAAACTGTAGCAAGAATACCCCCCTCCCCCCAAATAGAAAATGAGGAGGGGGAATTTATGAATGTATTATTTATTTTTTAAAACTGTCATTTAGCACGTAATTTTACTTCAAAGAAGGGAAGATACAAAGTGACAGATTATACTGAGGTTTCCTACTTTACTTTTCAGAGGACATGAGTATGAGAATTCCTTATCACAGAAACAACAGCAAGTTGAGTCTGAACACAAAGCAAAGTGAGTTATATTATAGTCTGAACACAAAACAAAGTGAGTTATATTATAGTCTGAACACAAAACAAAGTGAGTTATATTATAGTCTGAACACAAAGCAAAGTGAGTTATATTATAGTCTGAACACAAAACAAAGTGAGTTATATTATAGTCTGAACACAAAGCAAAGTGAGTTATATTATAGTCTGAACACAAAGCAAAGTGAGTTATATTATAGTCTGAACACAAAACAAAGTGAGTTATATTATAGTCTGAACACAAAACAAAGTGAGTTATATTATAGTCTGAACACAAAGCAAAGTGAGTTATATTATAGTCTGAACACAAAGCGAAGTGAGTTATATGAATTATAGTATTACAGAAATAATAAATGTAAATGACGAAACAAGCAACTTCAGCTGAGATTTTACAGTGATAAAATTTGTATGATTTTCAGATTTTGATCTTGGTGAAATTTGAATTTGAGTTGGGTTTATTTATAGAATACATAAAATAGTGCGAGACATCAACAAATATCTACAGACTCAAGACTCAGGCCCTTGGCCTCAGAACAAAGTGTCTGCTCTGGACAGGGCATTAGGGGAAGTCAGTAGGATTCTAGACAAAAAGGTATGCTCTTGTAACACTGTTTTTATGTTGGACTGTATTCAGTCTCTTTTAAATGCCTATTTAACTGCATATCTTTTCATCTATTCAGAAGAATTTCCATCATAAAGTTCTGTACTACAATTTTTTACACCCCACTATGAATATGGCCAGGGCATATAGTGTTTGTCATGCCTGTCTTCCATCCTTCTGTCCCTCTGTCCTTCCATCCTTCTGTCCATCTGTCACACTTTGCATTTAGCTCAGTTTCAAAAAAACTATTCACAATATTTTTATCAAACTTCATATGCTGATACATATTGGTGAGAGCTATTCAATTTCATCAACATCCTTTTCTATTCAAGGTATTTACATCAAACTTCATACAATAATACAGATTTTCATATTGCATTACTAATGAACCCTGGGTTGGGCATTCATATCCTATGGACATATTTCAGTGTTGTTGCTGATAAATTTACTGTAAGAATATTTATTTTATTTCTCAGTTTTATGTAATTGTGTCATGTTCCTATGTGAGATGTTGTGAACTGTTAATATTTTTTATCTACAGAGTGGACAGGATCAGAATGCCCTAAGGGTGCTGGGTGGGCTGAACAGCCTCTGCCGACTCCTCCATGTCTTAGACAATGCCACTCCAGAATTACCACCAGTTATCCCACCAAAGTAAGTTACCTTAGAAAGTAGGTCAGCTCCCACCATTCCCCACCAAATTAAGTTACCTTAGAAAGTAGGTCAGCTCCCATCATTCCCCACCAAAGTAATTTACCTTAGAAAGTAGGTCAGCTCCCATCATTCCCCACCAAATTAAGTTACCTTAGAAAGTAGGTCAGCTCCCATCATTCCCCACCAAAGTAAGTTACCTTAGAAAGTAGGTCAGCTCCCATCATTCCCCACCAAAGTAAGTTCCCTTAGAGAGTGGGTCAATGATCTAATGTAGGTCAGAGGTCAAGGACTAAACCTTTGCTTATGTAGGTCATTTTCTGATAGTGTACATGTGTATCATAGTTTATTTCTTGTTAAAGTCTTTGTTTCTACTTACAGGACCTTGACATTGACGTGTAATGTGTTCCGACAGGCATGTAAAAATAATTACGACAACTGTCACTACATGCTGTTCAGTAACAAGATTGGAATTATAGCGGATCTGCTTGTCCAGAGACTGATGGTAAGGAGTGCATATTGTACTCTTTGTTTTTGTTCAAATGAGGTGACAGTCATTGTGTCATGAAAGTTTTTTTTCCTAAGATAGGATTTTAAAAAAAATGATATGCCTGTTTGAGTATGGAAGAAACAATGTTTTAAAATGTTGTAAAAATTTGATGCAAGAAATTTTTATTTTGTTATCATAAAGATTTCAGGAAAACTGAAAAGTTAAACATTAATAATGGAGGTGACAATACTAAATAAATGTTTCTTTCTTTTCAGCTCCTCCTACCAGACAACTCACCTCGTCCTGGGTCTGGTCAGTCTACAGGAAGCTCTCAGTCCTCAGGCACACCCTCTGGTACGGCCCTGGGAAATAAACTCCCGTATGACTCACTCGTGCTCAGTCTGATGCAGCTAATGTCTACTGTGTTGTCCTGTCTAGCTAAAAATAACCCTGCGTCTAACGTCAGCGAGGCTTCGGCAGAGAGAATGAGTGGGACAGTGGACACTGTGTCCAGCAGAGCAAACGACCTCATCAGGTGATTCTTATGTATATTATTGTATTTATATGTGTATTATGTGAAAAATTATTTGATGCATTGAGGAAGAATGACACAAACAAACTGATCCACTTTGATAACAAATATTTAAAATCAATTTTTTTTATTTGAATAAGATGAAGATGATTATTATGATCAGACCTTCTTAAATCATACATGTATGTGTGTATTTTGAAGCTTGTTAGCTCAGCTGAGCTGAAAACTTAAGTGAGATTTTCTGATCACCCATTGTCCGGCATGCGTCTGAAAAATCTTCACATGTTCAACTTCTTCTCAAGAACCATTGGGCCAATTTTAACCAAAGTTGTTACAAAGCATCCCTGGAAAAGGGGGATTCTAAATTATTAAAATGAAGGGCCAAGTCTCTCCCAAGGGGAGTTAATCAAGAAAAGGCAAAAATAGGGTGGGGTCTTTAAAAAAATCTTCTTCTCAAGAGCCACTGGGTCAGAAAAGGTGAAACTTAGGTGGAAGCTTCTTAAGGTAGTGTACATTCTAAATTGTTCAAATCATGGCCTCCAGGGGTAGGGTGGAGCCACAATAGGGGATCAAAGTTTTACATTAATGTGAAATACATAGGAAAAATCTTCATCTCAACAAAAGCTGAAACTTATGTGACAGCTAACTGAGTAAGTGTAGATTGTAAATTACACCGATTATGGTCCCTGGGGGTAGGATGGGGCCACAATAAGAATTGTATAGGGAAAAATCTTTTAACCCTCTTCTCAAGAACAGCAAAGCCATGATGAATTATATGAATGTGGAAGCCTCCTCTGGTAGTTTAGATGATTAATTTTTTTTTTCAAATTTCTGCCTCTGTGTAAAGGGTGGGCGACAAAAGGCAATCAAAATTTTACACAGGAGTACATGTATATTGGGGAAATAGTCTGATGCAGTTGATTTCTAGCTGTTAATATTTCCCATATTGCATATTCATTTCTAGCTGTTAATATTTCCCATGTCACTAGTGACTATGAAATTGAAGTAGGCTTAGAGAACAGTTCTAAAAAATCCTTACCTACTTACACTTTTTTTAAAGCATATTACAGGAAACAGTTTTAATTTATTTTATTGACCTTATTTTATTTTTCAGTTTTTCTATCACAGTGACTGTAGCTTGCAAAAATTGTTCATTTTGTATATACATGTGAATCACCAATTTTGTTTTTCCTCCATAATAAGAGTTATCTCTCTTTTCCTGCATTTATTTGTCTGCATCATAAAAATTGATTTTATTTTCCTTCACAGTTACATTGTCAGTGTGGGAATCGTAGACAAGCTGACTCAGTATTTTCGTAAAGTCCAGGGTCCAATCGATGATGATAAAGATGGCGCCGAGTTTCTACAGCATAGTCTCGGGCTTCTGGTGGCTATGACCAAAGTCATGTCAAAACGGTATGTCTCCATACACTGAAGAAAATACAAACTTATGAAACAATACAGACCTTCCTTAAGTTCTTGATTAAAAAATTAAGTTCAATCTAAACTTTAAATTAAGAAACTAAAACTATAGTTGTAGTAAGAAAGTTTAACAGAGATACTAAAATATGACACAGATAAATATTCAGAATATTATATTACAAATTTCTTGGGTGAATCATGTTTAACTTCACTATGATTCTTTTGCTGTTATCTCAATTTACAGTTTTTATGTGGACTCACAGGAAGTGAATATGTCTGTTTCACTCCTGAGAAAATAGCACATGCATTTTCATGTATATCAAAGCAGAATTTCCTCTTAATCATTATATGCATCATGTTTGATTTTAAGGTGTTGAGAAAGGCAATTTAAGTGTGATTGTATTGTGCATTTTTTTGGAGGGGAGGGGGTATTTTCTGGAAAGTAAAACACCCATTTCTGTGTATTTCTGCTGCTATTTTCCTTGTTTTGTTCTTGGAACTTGATTTGGAAAGTCGTGTTTGGTTTTGACAAGGAGGCAGAGCTTTGTACTATAACAGAATGTCCAGAAAGTCGTGTTTGGTTTTGACAAGGAGGCAGAGATTTGTACTATAACAGAATGTCCAGAGAGTCATGTTTGGTTTTGATAAGGAGGCAGAGATTTGTACTATAACAGAATGTCCAGAGAGTCGTGTTTGGTTTTGATAAGGAGGCAGAGATTTGTACTATAACAGAATGTCCAGAGAGTCATGTTTGGTTTTGACAAGGAGGCAGAGATTTGTACTATAACAGAATGTCCAGAGAGTCGTGTTTGGTTTTGATAAGGAGGCAGAGATTTGTACTATAACAGAATGTCCAGAGAGTCGTGTTTGGTTTTGATAAGGAGGCAGAGATTTGTACTATAACAGAATGTCCAGAGAGTCGTGTTTGGTTTTGACAGGGAGGCAGAGATTTGTACTATAACAGAATGTCCAGAAAGTCGTGTTTGGTTTTGACAAGGAGGCAGAGATTTGTACTATAACAGAATGTCCAGAGAGTCATGTTTGGTTTTGATAAGGAGGCAGAGATTTGTACTATAACAGAATGTCCAGAGAGTCGTGTTTGGTTTTGATAAGGAGGCAGAGATTTGTACTATAACAGAATGTCCAGAGAGTCATGTTTGGTTTTGATAAGGAGGCAGAGATTTGTACTATAACAGAATGTCCAGAGAGTCATGTTTGGTTTTGATAAGGAGGCAGAGATTTGTACTATAACAGAATGTCCAGAGAGTCGTGTTTGGTTTTGACAGGGAGGCAGAGCTTTGTACTATAACAGAATGTCCAGAGAGTCGTGTTTGGTTTTGACAGGGAGGCAGAGCTTTGTACTATAACAGAATGTCCAGAGAGTCGTGTTTGGTTTTGACAAGGAGGCAGAGATTTGTACTATAACAGAATGTCCAGAAAGTTGTGTCTGTGCAGGTATCATTCAATCATGTATGGGGATGCATGGTTACAGCTGAATATGAAATGCATGGTTACCGCCGAATCCAAGGACATTTGATGTGCTGTTGCAGGTGTATAGACTTAATGACAAATAATTGATAACATGCTCTGATGACTTCAATACAAAATGAACCAGCTATATGCCATTTGTCAATATTAAATCAAATCATATCTAAATTTAAATGTTTAATTTAAATAAAAGTATCCAATAAGTTTACAAAACTGAGATTAATCCTATGATCTGACCTTCCTTTCACCTCTGTATTTTAAAGGCCATCTTTAAAATCACATATTAAGCATGAAATGTAAAAAAAAAAAAAAAAAAACTAATCAGATTAGAGGATAATACCGATTTAGGACTCTGTTTGATATCTGTACTTGTTATATACTTTTTTTTTTCAAAGTTCAATCTCCAGCATCAGCAATGAGCTGAAATTAATGAGAGAAATATTAATGCATTTTATGAGGACATCAATTTCTTAAATGGTGATAGTCTAACTACAAATAAAAAAATTGAACTTGTAGGTTGTACTGATAGAAATCAGAATGTAATGTGGAGTCAAATAAAATGTGTCTTTCCTGGATTGTAATCAGTAAATATATATCTGTATCATCCAGTATAAGGGTACCACTGACTGTGTGATACCGTAATGATCAGATACAAGGCACAATTCTCAGTGACTCTACACAGTCTGTTTCCTAACTAGATTTTCACTCTTAGTAGGCATTGTCTTGTACTGGTTTTGGTTGATTTTACCTTACACAAACTCAGTTGGCACTGTCATGTGCTAGTTTTGGTTGAGTTTATACTTTACACAAACTCAGTGGGCACTGTCTTGTGCTGGTATTTGTTGATTTTATACCTTACACAAACTCAGTGGGCACTGTCATGAGCTGGTATTTGTTGATTTTATACCTTACACAAACTCAGTGGGCATTGTCTTGTGCTGGTTGTGGTTGAGTTTATATCTACACAGTCTCAGTGGGCATTGTCTTGTGCTGGCTGTGGTTGAGTTTACATCTACACAGTCTCAGAGGGCATTATCATGTGCTGGTTGTGGTTGATTTTACCTTACACAAACTCAGAGGGCACTGTCTTGTGCTGGTTTTGGGTGATTTTATACCTTACACAAACTCAGAGGGCACTGTCTTGTGCTGGTTTTGGGTGATTTTATACCTTACACAAACTCAGTGGGCACTGTCTTGTGCTGGTTTTGGGTGATTTTATACCTTACACAAACTCAGAGGGCACTGTCTTGTGCTGGTTTTGGGTGATTTTATAGCTTACACAAACTCAGTGGGCACTGTCTTATGCTGGTTTGGGTTGATTTTATACCTTACACAAACAATACTTTGTAGAGATATATGTATAGGAGTCACCTTGACAGTATGTAATGATGCAATCATTTCCAGGCTATAACTAGTCTACTTTTTTAGAGAATTATCACTATAATTCCTGCACAATGCTTTGTTTTATAAGCAGGTGTCTTGAGAATTATTGTTTAGTTAAATGTCAAAAAATATACAAAGTATTTATTTTTATTTATTTTAATTATCTTTAATAAACTGAATGTTATGTACTGGAGCATAATTATGATTTTCTTAGTAAATGATAAAATAAGATATTACAGATGTCAATTAAAATCTGCAACAAGCATACATGTCCTAGGTGAAATCCGTGTTAATTAATAGAAGTCCAGTCTCTCCTTTGGGACTGCTTTTATCCCAGTCAGATTGTCAGCTTGTCACCACTTTTACCCTGGTCCAGCTTCTTCTGCCTGGCAGCTCCAGCTCTTGCCTTATTTTCTAGGTTTTCTTGTAAGTCGTAATTACAGCCCTACATGTACTCCGTATTTTGTCATCTGTCAGGGTCCCTGTATCACTTTTCTCGTGTTCAGGTTGTGTGGGGACTAGTAATTAGGTGGCTAGAACAGTACAGTAACCTGTTATTATATGATAGGGGCAGTCAACTTCTGACAATGATGAGCTAGGGGTTCCCCTGATCTATAATTAAATGTTGTTTAGGGGAGGAACCAGAAAATATGATACTGGCCCTGTGGAGACTGTTCTTTAGGTCTCACACAAGGAAATGATTTCACTATATGTTACTATGTAGCTTTAATTAAATTAATTAATTAATTAGACTCTCAGCAGATAATTCATGAAAGAGAAAATAAAGATTAATGCTGAGACAAAAATTTGAGATCAGAAAAAATACGCCTTATGCGGCTTTTAAGAAAGAAAATTGAGTGTAAACATACCTACCCTGAAATACACGTGGGTTTCACATGTTGACAAACAGCCTACACACCATCCAGGAAGTTGCATCATGCGCATCTAAAAAAAGAGTTCCCTTTAATTCAGTGGCACAATTCTGCTAAAGATATGATATTCCTAGTACATGAGTCCAAAATTAAAACTGTAGACCTAAAAAAAAGTTGCCGAAAATGCAAAAAGAAAAAGAAATTGTTTCTGTATATATAGAACTACAATTGACTAAGTTCATTTTGATTGGCTATTTCCTTGCATAAGACCTTTATAAACACATGGTAAAAAGAAATTGGTCATTGGAAATATTGCAGTAAATAAATGCCAATTTTGTTTGCTAAACCAAGTTTTAAAATATATAACAATTTAAAATCATATTTATTTAAGATTTTTTTAATCATTTAAACTCAAACACTGAATAGTTTTAGTTCCATTAAGAATTTATGGAAAATTTTATGCAAAAACTGATTTTCCCCTCTTTATATTAATGAACTTTTGATTATATGTTAAAGTGAGCTATATTTCTGTCCATGCAGACCAGACTCTATAATATCACCTCCCAAAGGATGAGAAAACTTACAATATAGCATTTGGTACAAATTATGTATTATTAATTTTGAAATCAAAATAAAAATGAGTATACACATGTGTTAACATTCCAGATAAGATCCATTGTTAATTTAGTTAATAGGAACTACAAAAAAATTAACATATTAAAACATATTTCAGAAATTGTTGTATCCATGAAAAAGAAATCTGTCTAAAAGCCAACTGTTGGGTGATTTTTATTTCTGTTGAGGTCAGGTCCGATACATCTGTCAATGAAGTTTCTCCTGTAATGAAAATTGGGTAAAAAAAATCCTCTCTGCCCTACGTATCTGAATCGTCCAATTAAGTGTCTTTTCATCAGTACAAATCAGGCATGTCTTTGATTTTGTGTTGGAGACAATTTATCATTTCATATTTGTATGGAGGATAATCAAAAAAAAAAAATCATACTCGCAAAATGAATTGAGAAAGTAATATGTTTTCAATTGCTCAAAAAAGACCATGAACATAATTATGTTCTCTTTTTACTGCCGAGAATTTTTACATTTATGTAACATTGTTTGGGTAATCTATGATTAAATCTAACATGCAGGTGTTTTTCCATGTATTTTCACAGTTGATATCTTAATTAACGTAATCCAATTTTTAGAGAAATGAAGAAAAATCATTCACACAAAACGAGATTTCCAATTTTCTTGTTCACTGACATAGACAGTGATAAGCTCTGTGTACTTTGAACATGAATTATTCACAGTCAGAAATAGAATTTTATGTTTTTTATGGATATTTTTTATTCAGACAAATGAATTAAATATCTCAGTTACTTTCAATAAGTCTTCCTGCAAAAACAGTTATTCAATTGTAATTTTCATGTTTCATGTTTGTACATCGTTGTTCATTTTAAATGTCAAAAATATTTCTTTGTTAGACTACATGCTGTGTGATGTTTAAACTCAAATTGAAAATATATATTTGTGTCTCCTTTAAGAATCCTGTAGATGTGGGATATACAATGTATTTTTAAGGTATAGATTCAAATGTTGTATCCCATTCTGTAATGTTATCATCTGAGGTATGTGCAGTTTGTCATAATTAACTTGTAAGTTTTCTTCACGATGAATCAAGGATATGAATTATTCATTTTTCAGACGTGTTTCAAATCAAAAAGGAAATCTGTTGCATTAAAAAAAAAAATTTAAAGCATGAAATCTAAAAGCAAAAGTAAAAAAGGAAGTCATTTTGGCTGTGATTTTCAGCAAAATTACATTTGAATATTGAGCCATTGTGTTTTCACAAAATTAGCTATGTCCTCTGGGCCCACACCAGATACTGAAAGTAATATTATGTTCCTTGCATGTGTGCATTTCTAGGAGAAAAAAACAAAATCAGTGCTTGATAGAAAATTGGTTTAATTGTAAACACAGTACTCGCCAAATACCACAGATATTGAATTATCTGCTCAAATGACCAATGACAATGATAACACATTAGGTCTGTCGGGATAATTCCTGGCTTTACATTCCTAATCTATATCAAATATGACAACCTTAAATCTCAGCAAATTATATTGCAGTGAATGATAGAGTTAGACGTCCTCATCATATTCCTCGGGGGATTGCCTAATGGTTCGTTTGGGGGGACTTATTGCGGGCCATCATTAGATTATACACTGGACTTAAATCTAATTCTGTTTCCCAAAACACCAGGCTTCAGCAGTGACTACGATTCATATAATATTGATAAAATATGATTCATTTATGGATAGAAAATAATATGTTTTTCATACTGAAAATATAATTAAAGCCCACAAGATATAATTAGAGCTGTCGCATTTATCTGATAAATCTATTTAAGACTATCATTTTTTGTAAATAAAGACCAATAATTCAATGTTCAGCGATGTTTTATGGTTTTGTGTTTAAGCTCACATCTGATGCAAGAGTTCTTTTTGTGTTTTGCAGCAGAGGAAAATTGGACGATTTCTTTCATTTCTATCTGCTTTCTTGGACCATAATATGATTAGTTTCTATTCATTTCAATTCATTAAGAGAGTGGATTTTTCCCATCAGTTATTTCTCATAACCAAAAGCTAGGGCTTTCCACATGTACAGAAAAAAAAAACACATAATGAATTGCCGGGAAAAGACAATTTTTTATAATTGTTATAAGCATAATTCGTTATATCCATTAAGTTTACAATATATTTTAAAGTCAAAGGGAATGAAAATCACTTCACTGTAAGCGTCAATTCATTATAAGTGTGTTCGCTATATTGATGATATTTTGATGTATACAATATGGTGTTATAGGAGTTAAAATAAGATCTGATTTAGTTCATCTTGTTTCCAGAGAGAATCAGATGTTAGAATTTGTACAAACAGTAAACTAGTCTTAAGAGTTGCCATCCTTTTTTTAAAAATGTTCAACCTTCACTGAGACCACAGGTACACTGAATATTAAATTCTAGATTTATCTCCCTTGCAAAGCACTACTGTATACCTAGCACAAGGATTTCTTAATTGACTGGGGAAAAAAATGTCAAAACAGAATTCTGTCAGTAGTTGATAAATGACACTTTCAGGGTGTGTGAAGTACAAATGTAATTGCATCAAACATTATTTATGACATGAATAGTGCAAGAGACATTTATAAGTATATTGAAAAGTCTGACAAGCCTCATTACAGATTTATTAAATACATGCATCAGTATGTCCTCGAACCTTCTGTTATTTGTTACACAATTTTTTTTTGTAATTTCAGAAATGCTGCAATTTTTGAGAAGAAGAAGCTAGAGGACCCGACTCAGCTGATCAATACGTACGAGGTCACGGAGCTCGTGGGGATCGTCTCCCTATTGTACGGTATGCTGCTTCACTCAGGGGCACCCAGCAGGGGAGAACTCTCACCCCCGGAGTTACCCCAGCACACAATGGCAGTCATCCTAACGGGAATCAAAATGTTAAACAATATGGCCACCTTCAGCCTGGAAATGTTACAGGTAAATTGTTAGATTTGTGTTCTGGACTTCAACAAACAAACATTGTTTATTCTCAGAACATACTGAAGTGTTCCTGGTCCATTTTTAAATTTTATATAGTACTCAGTTATCAAGGAATTTTTTATAAAGCTCCCAAGTGAAAAAATTACATTGTATCAAAGAAAAAAATGCAGCACATTCCCAATGCCTGATTATTTAACCATTAACTATTCAGGGTTATAATTTGTCTACATTTGAACTTTGTGAGCAGTGAAATAGATATTTCTATTAATGTGATTTCTTGTGTTTAAGTTAAACATCATGTTGGATTAGAAAAGCTTAATTTTGTGAGGAAAAATATTGAACACAAGGTACATTTCAGCGTGGGTTGTGGATAGTCTGTAAAATTGATCTTGAGAAATTATATACAGATTGTAGTCTGACAAAAGATAAAGAGTGGAAAGTTCTGAAAGAGAAGCCTCTCATTATTGTTCTTTAGAAAAAAAAGGAGATGAAACGAGCGATTTACAATTTTAAAAATCATTTTATGCCAATTAACTTCATCAAATGGCTGTTAATGACTTGTTAAAGTTTCAGTTGCACATCAAACTTTGCTCAGCCTTGAAAAATTAATAATGGCTGTCAGCATGACGTATGAGTTTAAATTTTCATATTTCAATCACTTTTCTGCTCTGAAAAAGATTGTGGTTTTTTTTTCTGTTTCTCTTTTACCTTTTTTCTTTTTTTTTTTTTTTGTATTGTGCACATTGAATCCGAAGTATGTCACTGAATGAGATGATTAAATCAAAAGAAAGTTCATTCTGGCTTAACTTAAAAAAAACAACTGCACAAAATGGAAGTCAGTGAGAATTCTGGGATGAAATGTACTCTAGTGGTAACAGTTTATCAAGTACAAAGTTTGAAAAGTAATTTTTATTGTAGGATCTATAATATGTTTCCACTACATATTTAAACAAAAAACTAGAATACCAGGTGACAAGATGATTAAGGCTTGAGTTTTGAAATATGCTTAAAAATTCTGACACAGCAATGTTAATCAATATTTGTAGCACATCCCTACGAAAATTATCATGATTTCATAAGTATACTTATATGTCCAACTTCCCAGTTAGGCCTATAAAGTTAATTATTTGTTTCCCCTTTTGTGTCACACTTTTTTGACCCACAGGTTAGGAAGGAGGAGAGAAACCAATTAAAATATTTTAACTGTATCTGACTTTTAGCTCACCCGAGCCAAAGGCTCAAGTTAGCATTTCTGATCGAAATTTGTCCGTTGTCTGTCCTTGTGGTTGTCATAAACTTTTCACAATTTCATCTTTTTCTCCAGAACTACTGGGCAAATTTCAACCAAACTTGGCACAGAGTATCCATGGGTGAAGGGGATTCAGATTTGTTCAGACAAATGAAGGTCCACACCTTCTTCCAAGCGGAGATAATTATGAATTAGTGAAAAATTAATTTCATTGTTTAAAAATCTTCTTCTCAAGAACCACTGGGTTAGAAAATATGAAATTTATGTATCCTCAGGTAGTGAAGATTCAAGTTTGTTCAAATCATGACCCTCGGGGGTAGGGTGGGGCCACAATGGGTGATCATAGTTTTACATAGGAATACATAGGAAAAATCTTCTTCTCAAGAACAGCAAAGCCATGATTAGTCATATTAATATAGAAGCATCCTCAATTATTGTAGATTCAAATTTGTTCAAATTATGACCCCTCAGATGTAAAAAGGGGCCATAACAGGGGATCAGAGTTTTACAAGGGAATCTAAAGGTTGTATCTATAAAAATTTTCTTCTCAATAACAGCAATGCCTTAATTAGTCATTAGGTTACCTGCGTCACTCAATACTGACAGATTTCTGCTTTTCCTAACCAAAGTGCTCCAAAGTGCTCTGGTGAGTGATGTGCCCCATGGGGGATTTACAAATTTGCAGTAGGAAAACAAATTTTAAATGGAGTTTCTCTGTATACCTGAACTTGATCTGTATGTTTGTCTGACCATTTCCTTGAGTAGGAAAGGAAGCATTGTCCTATTGTCTTTAGCCTGGTTTTATTTTTGTTACAGAAAACACTGGGTGAGGAGGGAATGTCCCTGGAGTTCCGACACATTGCTAGCTATCTGATGTGGTATTGTAGTAGGCTGACGTGTGAGGAGCTTCTACATGAAGTCATTCTGTGTGTTGGATACTTCACCATTCTCCATCCCGAAAACCAGGTAAGTGTGGGACACACACCATACTCCGTCCCAAAACAGGTCAGTGTAGGACCCACCATACTCCACCCCCGAAAACCGGGTCAGTGTAGGACCCACAATACTCCACCCTAAAAACCAAGTAAGTGTGGGACACACACACACCAAACTCCACCCTAAAACAGGTCATTGTAGACCACCATACTCCACTCCCAAAACCAGGTAAGTGTGGGACACACAGATGAGTGACCAGGTTAAAATTTTTGGAGCAGGTCTCATTTCCAAGTAACTTTAAGCCCTATGTTGACCAAACTTGCATGGATGATACATCTAAAGATGCACACTACCAGGCTTGCTTCAGATGCTGTATCTAAGCAACATTTTCCGGATGAGTAACCAGGTTAAAGTAAACTATAAGGGCTATCTGAACCAAACTTGCATGGATGATGCATCACAGGATGAACACTCTCGAACTTGCTTTAGATGCTGGATATGACTTACATTTTCTGGATTAGGGACTAGTTTAAAGTTTTTAGGTAAGTCCATTCCCAAGTAACTTGCAGACCTATTGGATCAAAATTACATAAATGTTACATCTAGGGATGCACACTACTAGATTATTAGTTTGGGACTTTGTCTTACTTAAAGACAAAACAGTCGTTGAGGTGAGCTCTGTAATCTCTGATTATGTTTTTATTTGTTCTTTCATTGTATTTTTTATACTATTAGCTCTGACCAAATAAACAAGGGTTTGGGACTTTTCATGTTACAATGCAATGTACCTTTGGTTGCAGCATTCATATCCTATGGACTTATTTCTAGGTGGCAAATAACTACAATCATCTTTACTTGTTGACTTAAGACGAGCAGTATTTGTTGCATGGTATTCGGTAGTTGACCTCAAATAAAAATCTTTTACTGGAGAGCTGTGAGTAATTCCAGCTTCCATAAAAATTCAAAGCAGTGAAATTTATGATCTAGATTAATAAGGCAGTGACTAAAATCACTGAGCCGTGACGCTGTGCATGGACCATAGAAAAATGATTGTTTATTTAAATAGTCATTTGAGGAGGAACTGGTAGATTGATTGATCAGTTGATGCCCTTTCTTCAGACATTCCTACCAGGGTGTAGGTTATTGACTTTTAATTAGTTGATCTGACATAAACAATGATACAGCACCAAATCAATTTTCAAAACAAATCTCTCCCTCTCTCTCTCTCTCTCATAAGATCAAGAAGAAGAAATGCTCAGATTTTCCTGTAGTATCAAGTCAATTATGATTATTGAACAATTCATACATGTTTAACTTTATGCTTGAGGCTGCTTAAGACTGTGGGAAAGTTGTAGAATGCTGAAGTAGCAACAAGGAGGAGAGAGATTCAACAACTTCAGACACGTGTTTTTAAGAGGATTCCTTTATTATGAACCCCTATAACTCGGTACCTTCCCCTTATAATGTGGTTTACAGATTTGTTAAGGAGGAGTTTTATGTAAGCTTTAAGGACTTTCTATGATAAATGGTGTTTACCACTTGTCATCTCTGAGATGTACACACTTGCTGCAGGCAGAATTTTATGAAGTTTTCTGAAATTTTTCTGATTTATTTTTTTTTTGCCAGGTCATAATTTAAATACTCTCACATCTGACATATTCTTTGAGTACTGTGTACTGAAATGTACTGAAATCAAGTAGAAATCTTTTAAAGTGGTATTCTTGGTTTTAAATTATTCCATTTCCTGTACAGAACATACTGCAAATGTTGAAATTCACTCCATAAAATCCTGAATGAAAATAGGAATATTCTATGTCACTTGTCAGACTGACTTGTCTGAGATTCTGAATCATTGTCACTTAACAAGCCTTCTCCATCTGAAGCCTTGCTGTCTTTTTTTCCCCAGTCTTTGGGTCAGTGAGATCTCTAAATGACAACACAATATAGTTACTGTTGTTTTAGCAGTGGAATATTATTGGAAACGAGGAGTAGCTCTATCACCTAATCACAGTTGTGTGCATCTGCTTCAGAATAAATGTATTTTACTCCCAAAGTCCATCCTGCTAAAATCAAGCTAGCTCTTCTGAGGTCACGACCTCTTATAATGGGGTCTAGCTAAAATGAGGAAAATTCCCTTAAGAGGTGGACGTTGTAATTGAAACAATGGATCTAGTTCTAGGTTGTGAGTCTTTGGATTTGATTAATGCCACTGGTGTTAAACAAATTACTGGGATCAAAATTCTCATTGACAATCATGAAACAGCTCATTTAGAGAATTAAGGCTTTTGACATTGATGTTTGTAAGACTGTCCAGAAAAGAACAAATACGGGGAGCTCAGAAAGGATGAGCCAGATATTCTCCCACAGTATCTGTATCACAGATTGTACAGATGAGAAACAAAGAAAATCCAGGGGTCCATGTAAAGGAATTAATTATTTACAGGGAATTTTAGGTCTAAACAATCTGATTATGACAGTTTGTATACTTAGTTATATGCATGTAGAAATTTGAGTTGTTTCTTTCAGAGAGGTTACATTTTTTTTTACATAATTATATTGAGCAATATGATAACAATGTCTTGCAAGAAATTTATTTTCATTCTGAAGATTAAAAAAGGTTTGAAAATTTCAGCATATGTGCCTTAATTTGATTTATATATGTTATTAGTTTAGGTGACAGAAGGTTATTTTTCACAAATGCAAATTGTTTAATTTAAAAAAAAAAAAAGATGTATTCCTCACTCTGATATCTCAAATACCATGGATACGTTGAAGTGAATTGGAAGTTCCACCTTTTCTTTACGTATTTCACTCAGAAACTTGGTTATATGAAAGTCTATCTCAATCACATCGAGTTCCAGATAACCGGGTTGACTGTAATTATTCAACGGAAAGTTCTGAGAATATTTAGTGAATTCAGCAGACATTTTAAGTTATTCTCAGGGAATATCTTTGCTTTCTCTAAAAATAAAGTTTACATATTTGTAAAAATTAAAGTTCCTGACATTGGACAATAATGACAATGAAGTATTGGTTGCATTATTTCAGATTGTGATTCAATCCGGCCAGTCCCCTACAGTTCTACAGCAGATGTGTTCCTTACCATTCCAGTATTTCAGTGACCCTCGACTGACGGGGGTTCTATTCCCGACCCTCATAGCCTGCTGTTACAACAACAAGTCCAACACGGCGATTCTGGAACAGGAACTTAGCTGTGCCCTCCTCTCCAACTTCATAGAGGTAAAAAAATGATCAACTTGTACTGCAGTCTAGGGAAATAGGGTCAGTAAGAAAAACATTGGTAAATGTACATTAGAAATCCACGTAAACTAGGAAGATGAGGTAATATTTACAGAAATATGACCTTGAGACACCTGAACTTTAAATGGGTCAAATTCACATGTATACTCTAAGAGTAGAAACATAGGAAAATGTGACTTAGAGATATATGAACCTTAAACATTGAAAATGGGATAATGATTACATACTGTAAAGTGGAAATGCTGTTGGAGAGAATTATATTTTAAGTGCAGTTCATTATATTGTAAAATGTAGTTTACATTTTCAATATATTGTAAAATGTAGTTATCATTTTTAAAAGTAGTGCTGGGGAAATTTTTTAAAAGATGTGAAATAAAGAAGTGAGTGATATTTACACACTCTCTTAATTCATAGTAGAATATTATTTTGCTATATAGTGCAGGAGTTAGTCCTGAACTAAGAAATCCATTGTCTTTTGCCACATAATTCCTACACTAGTGATTATTCTTCAAAGAAAAATGATTTTTTTTTTTATGGTTCTGGTGTTATCATGTAAAAGAGATGAAGTGAAGATTTTTTTGTGCATTTGAAAGAAATTCTGTTCATATGATACCAAGTACTTTTTATAAAGTATTGCAAGACTTTTTACCTCAATGTTTAAAGTCAAATATAAAAGATAATGATTTGTTTCCTTTATATGTCTGCATCTGATCCAAACTCTGATAACTTCAGATAATATCAACTGCTGATATCAATTAGCTAACAGCAGTGATTATGCAATTCTTGCTTACAGGTTTTTAAAAAAAGAAACGATCAAATAATTCCCAGTTGCAATATAATAGAAAACTGAAGAAAAGGAGAGGTTTAATAAGGTTAAGAGCGATGATTGTGACATCTGTACCGTTGTTTTACTGAACCACTCAGGTGTGCATTTCATTTCTGTAAAAGGTTTCCCCCTTTGAGCTGCGGAGTGGTACGATACGTGTAAATATTAATGAGTCGTGTCCTCATTTTCTTCAGGAAGAATAAAGTACAATAAAGCATAATGCACCATTAGTAAGGCATGTTTTGGATCCATCTAATCTCCTTTTTCAGTTTTTAATTATTTTCGGTTTTGATTTTACTTCACACCTGATGATGACAGCCTCTTTGTGAGGAAAACGACTGAGGAAATAAATGATCGAGCAAGAAAGCTGAAGCATTTATATGAAATTTCATTGTGTTATTTATTTTTTGCAGTGAATTTCGGTATTTTGATTTTCATTTTATCTTTTAAATTATTAAAATGTTATGCTCATTAAGGTACTTCATGTAAAATTCAGTTAATTGGTGTCTTTTGTTTGAAGTTTCCAGTCAATAAAGCAGTGTTGTAGGTCAAAAAAAATATATAGAAAACTTGTTTGTTTTTAGATGTGATTGCTTAAACAAGACAACAGATTGCTTTATTAGGAGAAAAGAAGCATAGGATTATTAAATATGAACAATATATAAGCACATATTATTCCATGGCACTCTTTAGTTGATGGAGGTACGAATTTGGTAAAAAAAATTGTACTCTGACCAAAACCCAAGTTAAGAACAGAAGAGTAGGGCTGGGAAGAGTGCTATTCCTATACATTAACCAATCAGGATATTTATATACATTAACCAATCAGGATATTCCTATACATTAACCAATCAAGATATTACTCAATCAGGATATTCCTATACATTAACCAATCAGAATATTTCTATACATTTACCAATCAGGATATTTCTATACATTAACCAATCAGAATATTTCTATACATTAATTAATCGGGATACAAGATATATTTGTATTATCTGTATCAGTCCTGTAGCAATCATTTTTAGACTTTATTTTTTGTAACAATGACAGTCAAATACAAGGATTTTTTTAGTTTTTGAATTTCTTACTCTCTGCTATCTGATATGATAATTTTTATTTTATTGAAGATTCTGGGAGGAAAAAGGATTTTCTTTTTTTTAACATAAAGCCAGAATGATTGTGTGAAAAAAATATCATAATATATAAGCAATGTATTGTGATGTAATCATATCGTAGAAAACCTGTAACTTCCTGCCCAAGTAAAGAGCAGCTCTAATCAATTTTAGAAATTAAAAAAGCTATGAAAATTTCTTCCATATAGGTGTAATTTTGGAAAATTGTTGAAGTCAGACACTTGTCAAGACCAACATTGGAGTAATGTTCTTTTAAAGTGAAACTTTTCTAACAAAAATTGTTTGATGAATTAATGTAGCCATCAGCTATACACTATACCTATATGCTACTGTCTTAGTAGTCTTTTTTCTTCCTGATCATCCCACAAGGCACATGCTGCACAGTGAGTTTGTATTACATCTATACCTACTGCTGAACCACTCGAGATTTCTCAACCAAACCTCTTCAAACTGTCAAAATATTTGATTAATTTTCCAGGAATCTCATGAAAACTGTTATCACCCAATAAGTAGGAGGGGAGGGAGGAGGGCTTTTCATACATTGAAAATAGTTTGCATAATTTTCATTAATTGAACTGAGTATTATTCAGAATAACATCTCATTATGTTTGTAATGTCAGCTTGCTATCTCTGTGATTAGACTATAATGAATTTTAATGATCGGATTACTTACGGATCTATTTAAGTCCCCAAAAAGAGCCTTACACAGAGACTTTTCTAAATAGAACTTGAACTGTCATAATTAACTCATTGTGTTAACAATAAAATAAGGTGATTAGAACTTTGCAGCTTCAGCAAGTCCTTGAATTTTAGTGTAGTTTGATTACGTTGTGAAGAGGTTTTTATTAAGAAGCTGTTGAAGACCCAGACTCCAACACATCAGAGTTCATGCATCTCTACAGCTGAAACCCCCAAGTTACTACTTTAAATCATGTATTTATTACGCCATCCTATGGAAGCGGGTGATGTTACGACTGTTTTTTGTGCATATCTTGTAGCTGGACAGTATCAGTTCCAGATGTGTGTAAAGTATGGAATCTTAAAAACTCCCACGTCACTCTCGGAAGTGCCACTTCATAGTCGTGTACCTATGGATTTTCTCTCTTGAGTTAACTCATTGTACAGAAAAGCTACAAATCTAGGTGTGTCAATTGTAGAATCTAATGTTTTGAAGTATGATTCTACCCATAATACCGGTGTATTTTTTGTTGTCAGGAGAAAGTTTTGGAAGCTCAGGCCCGGATCTCACCAAGCTCAGCGTCATCTAAGAAAGGTCAGTTGGGTTGTGTGTAAAACTGCTCCAAAACCTCCTCTCTAAATTTTATATTAAAGGCTGTCCTAAATGTACATATTTTTTTTTTCAGTTCCAGAAAAAGATTCTGGTGAACAGAGAATGTCTTTGCTGTCACGATTTCCACAGGAGCAACTGACTGCTGCCCAGGAGTACTTCAAGGTCACATAGCATCAACTTACACAAGTCAAGATCAACATCCACTAAGTCAAGGTCAAATGAGCGACTAGACAAGGTCACGTTATAATGAGTGACCTGAACTAGACACTCTTCTGGGTTGCTTTCATTGTGGATTTTTCTTCATTTTGTGGGACCATTTTAATTACCTGCTTGATAATTTGTGTTCATTTTACTTTCATTACCATTCTTGATTAGTGTGAGGGTTTTTTTTATTTTAATCCGTCCTTATTTGACACTAATCCATATTTGATTTTATATTTTTGTTAATGTTTATTCATGTTCAATTTTTCACAGTTCTTTTTGTATTTATTTTGTATGAGTTTGGTGTTTACCGTTATTTTTTATTATTTTCTAATTAAGAAGTACATTTATTAACATGTATATTTAAGGATATTTTTGACATTGAATTTTTCAAATGTCTATTATAAATCATGTACTCCTCTAAGTACATGTAACACAAATTTATTGTCATTGAACTCTTTTCTGCACTTCAAGTTCTAAAATCAAATTAGCATTTTGTCTACCCCACTAGCATGTCACAGGAACAATGAAAATTCTGAACAGAGACACCTGGTGGTGTAATTATGTTAGATACAGAACAAAATGGGTATATTTATGTAGATCTGATGAATGATATTAAATGTGGAACCAAATGTGATAATGTACATAGAAAAGCCTGTTAACAAAGTGAATGAGATTTATGTATGAGTGTTTCAAAAATCTTATCACAGAGATGTTAAAAGTTACAGTGTCCTCACATCTCTGAAGTAATGTACGATTGTGTTTATTTACTTTGTGAATTGATGTGTGTTTATAAGAAATGTGTACAAGTGTTATTGCTCTTTTTTTTAACCTTTGCTTGTGAATTTTTAATTTGTTCATGAATACACAAAAAGTATTAAATACTTTTTTCATTTTTCACTTGCATTTTTTTTGTTTTGAAAATTAATATTTGTTAACTTCTTAAATTTTCTTGCAATGTTTGAAAATATGGAGCTTGCTGTTAATTTCAAATTATGTCTCTTTATCGCGCTGAACAGGCCCACTTTCTGGACAGTTTATGAATGTTAGAAAATTAACATCTGAGAATAATTTAATTTTGGTTGTAACGCGTCATTTGATTGGATAAAAAAATAGAATATATTGTATAACCTGGGTTGTCTACCTCACAATGACATGTCAAAAATGTATCAATCCGGTTGACGTTACATTTAAAATACGTACAATTTGAAGGCATTTTTTAAGGAGAAATTGTCTTATTTTTTTACACTTTATGAAGGAAAATTAAATTATAAGGAATGACAAGTTATACGGTATAACCTGGGTTGGAACAGTTTACGCTTTTTTATAAACCGCTTCACGGTTTATAAAGCGTAAACTGCCTCAACCCAGGTTATACAGTATAACTTGGATAGCTGTTAAATTAATTCCTTAAATATACATCATCTTAAAATTATTTAATTTTGGTAGTAAATTGTCATTTGATTGGATAAAAATAATTAGTTTAAATCGGATAACCTTTGTTGCCTACGTCACAATGACTTGCGTCAAAAACGTATCAATCCGCTTGAGTTACAATTAAAATATGCACAATTTTAAGGCATTTTAAAAGGAGAAATTGTTTATTTTCTACACATAATGATGGAAAATTAAATTAATAATGATAAGCAGAGACATATAAAAACCATTTATATGGTTTTTATATGTCTCTAAGATAAGGAATGAATTTAATAGCTACCCAAGTATAAACCACTTAGCGGTTTATAAAACGTAAACTACCCCAACCCATGTTATACCAGTGTAACTTTGGTAGCTATTGATTTCATTCCTTAAATGTTTAACACAATAAATATTCGAGTTTATATGAACTGAAAGGACTCTGTGGACTCGTTTGGACTAATAGTGAGATGCTTTACTGAGAGGAAAGCTGGTTTGTTTGTAGAATCGGTCATAAGCTGATAACTTATACTAGAGAGAATGGAATGGTGAAGACTCTCCCCCAGTTTCAGTTCATTAAATGTCTCAATTATGTCGTAATGCAGTTTCAGTAAAATCATTTAGATTCCTGAGTAAGTCAGCCTGGTAGTAAAGGGATTAGACTTGAATAGCAATAGTTAAAACCGGCATGGTTTAGTACATACCACTTAATACCAATAGACTATACGGAGTCGCCGAAAGTTTTTAATCTGATCCATGTGGTTCATTGAATTTTCAATAATTTCAAAAGACAATACATTATTATTTTGTGGAGATACTGTATGCGAGGTTTGCTTTCAATTACTGGTGCGAAATTGTCCAAGCACGAAAGAAAATCCCAAATAATTGAGTACTGGATAAAACTTGGTGATACGCGAGCGTTAGTCGGAACGGAATAAAAGAAGCTCTCTGATCGGCTAATCAGGTACACGGACGGAGTATGGAATATTTGTATGACTGATATTGCTTGAATTATAGTCCATTCTATGTGTTAATGACGACTAATTACTCCAGGCACTGGGAATCCCGACTTCAGTTACAAACTGTCTTGTCTGATCCAGATACAGCAAAGATTAATGGTGGCTTAATGATAACGCTGTAAGATCGACAGACTAAAAGCAGAAACCCTTAATCCGCATTATCGTTAAAATAATGGAATTTATTCAATTTATGTCGAGTTTAATCACACATTTCATTTGGAGTTTCTTCTAACAAAATACAAGATAGTCGATACATACTTTAATCAGCTGTTAATTGTTGGTTTCCTAATGATTCATATGGAATTTAACTTCACTGTATGTTTTAGTTACATTGGATTCGAGATAATTTCTTAGATATAGGTCAAGTCTTCAAAACTGTCATAAAAATCGTCCTCGTTTTATACGCTGCCGGTAACATTGAGCTCCCACATGTTTTAACTGTCAAATTATTTTTAACACTGTCAATTATATCACAGAATTTAGAAAGAACAAAGCACCACGTTCTCATATTAGAAATGACAATCACTTTTAAGCAAATGCTTAATTCAAGATGTGAGGAAATGCAGTAAGTTGAAACTGTTCATTTTATAAGGAATTGTTCGGAACGGACGGGTATTTAATATCCCGGAATCCTGGCTAGGTCTGAAAAAGGCCGCTCTGTTACTGCAAAGCTCGTATGACATGGGTGATAGTAGCGAAAAATAAACCAAAGCTTGCATGGAAAAAAATATTTAGTAAAGGAAAGCATTGTTGCAACACAGAATGTAATAAACTGAAATTATTACATTTTGTATTATTACATCTGCGTTAAGATCATTGCAGAATGTAATAGTGCAAAATGTAATAATACACTTTTTTATAGTTTTTGCTTTTTGTGTTATCATTTTAATGCATTCAGATATTTTTTTTTTTACTGTAATGCCTATACTTTGTTATTGTCAAAATCACCATGTTTACTGCTCTTTTTGTGTTTTACATTTTGCTTCGAAGTTAACGCAGAATAAAATTGCAGAATTGATTGCCTTTTATCTCCACAAATAAATGCATTTTTCATAGAAAGTTGGAATAATATAAAATAATTGCAATCAGTTATATTTTATTTATACAATTTGGCTACTTTATTCAATGAAAAAGGTGTAGACCAATCTCAAACAAAATATACAAATCTGTAACACTAAACAGGGCATAAAACATGCCCCCCTCCCCCCGGAAATTACAAAAGTGGAATCAGGGGCTTAGGAGGAGTAAGCATCCCTTTCAGCCGGTCACACCCGCAAAAATATTCTTCAATTTCCTATCGGTATACTTGTAACATTGATCCCGATGCAAATTAAAGTTTATTACATAATTCTTGTAAGTTCCCATAACAAAATGAAAACCATATTTTCGAACTTTTGGAAGTTTTCTTGTTGTTATATTTGATGTTATACATCAAAATATTTTATATAAATCGATAGGACTTAACTCTATCTACAGCTTATATGTTAAAGTGTTTCTGTCATATTTTACTGTAAATTGTTTAACTCGTTGCGGCTCAGAAAGTGACTTCTCCCTGATTTGGAGAGTTTTTACCTCTAGTAACACAAGTAATTATTTCAATTGACTACAACGCAAAATGTAATAACTCAAAATGTAATTATCCAAAAAGCGTGTTTCTACATCTTATGTGATTACATTCTGCGTTTGATTCGATGCATAATGTAATAACGCAAAATATAATAATCCAGTTATTACTTTATGCATCGAAGTTAACGCAAAATATTACGACGCAAAGTGTAATAATCTCAGTTTATTATATTTTGCATTGTAACAAAGCATTAATTAACAACACTAACTTGGGATTGTGATTTTGCTATGCAGTAAAACGTAATGTGCATTTTTAACAAGATTTATGTCTTAGTGCATTACGCACTTTCTCTTAGTACGCTGTACGTCATAAGCACGGCCAAAGATACATGTATGAAACGATGATTAATGCATGGTTGTGCTAATGAGTCCATGACCTATAAGTATATACGTTAAATTTTGAATACAATATACAATTTTTGAAATCCTCTGTTTTCATAAAATTCAAAAACTTTTCAAAAAATAATATTAGGTCTTTATGTATAAATTGTACATTCTTGTAGAAGGCATCAATATGCGACAGGACGTGTTTTCTTCGACTGAACTTTTGACTATTTTGATTACGTAATGACGTCAGACTATTGTTTTGGGACTGAGATAATTGAAGCTTTGACGTTACGCACGACCCGGAAATGAAGGTCGATGAAGGTGAAATAAATCAGTTTTAATTAATAATTTGTCTCATGAGCTCAACTCTGAGGCAATGATCAGATCAAAGATACCTGTTCTATGACAACGACTCATTAAAGCATCCCGATTCACCGAGAGCATCAGTTCCACCCAATGCACTCCGAATAAACTTCCGGTCCCACGGAAAATGGCGGCATGGGAATTGAACACCCGCAGAGGTCTTTGTTTTCATTCTTCGGCATGTGAGATAGGTGAGTGAAGAAGCGGAAACGGCACAAGACTCTCACAAATTACATTTTCGTGTAGACGCAAGGACTGGTAAATTAGCTTCCGGTGAAGTGCAGGGTGGGAAGTCGAACCTTTCATAGATATTGAAACGAATGAACGCTTGAGAGTACAATAGGACAAGTGTCACGCAACATACCAGACTCTTGATTTTCGCTTTCACTTCGATCACTTATAGATTTTTTATTGTCATTTCTTCATGAAAACAATGATGATGCAAATTCTTTTGTGAATTACTAAAAGTACAACAGAAGAGTATAGCTAATATTATCGGGAATTAGAATCTTTTTTTTTAATGATGTGAACAGTGTTTAAGACTGAATGGGGGAGTGATGCGATTCTGTTTTAATATAACTAAATCT